TACCAATTTCTGGGGGGAGCCCCATCGGCTCCCCGGAGCTATCCCAGGCTGATATGCTAATGTCAGACTTTGGCATCAGTCATGTGTATGGAGTTCTTAGGCCTACCGGGGACCACGGCCAGAACCGGGCCCCCTCAGAGAGGCAAGGGGAGCAATGGCCTATAGAAGCCCCCGTGTAGTTGGAAGCATTCTATGTCTGCCATCGACCGGAACAGGCACCCAGAAAGGTAAGCGCCCCAAAACAAACCCCTATTCTGGTTAAAATTGCTACCTAATACCGAACTAGTGAATAGAACTCCCCAACCGAAAACAAGCAAATTAGTGTGACGTCACACACTGCCGCGCCGCTGTCTGCGCAGCTCCCCCCTCCCCGGGAGGGGGAAGGGGGAGCCCCAGACCCCCCGCGCCGGCTACCCACACCTCAGTTCTTGAGGCTGATGCTATAGGCGATGGTCGTGTGCTCTGGCTCCGGTGTCGCTACTGCACTGTGCTTTGAGTGTGGTGTTAGTTTTGTGGGTGCGAGAGCCAGGAGTTATCTTCAGTACTCGGGCTGCATGCGCCTAGGGCTGCCTTCCCTAGGTGCCCTGTAAGTACTGCCCTTGGGGCTTGGGGCCACCTTCCACAGGCTCCTCGGGGTCTGCCTCTGCTGGTCCGTTTTACCTTTCGGTTTTTCGGCCGCCTGTTGGGCTCTTGGGTGTTCTGTTCTCCCTTGTTACCGGCAGGTAAGAGGCAGTTTGCACTGGTAGGGGCGCAGGGTGCTGCTCTGCTTGTAATTCCCGACATCGCGGCCGGCTCTGTTCCTTGGGGTTCGCTGTCCTCTTGCGGGGTTTTGTTTTTCTTTTTGTTTTTGCCTGGTGGGGGGTTCTGTCATTTTATTCAGTTTGTTTTTGCCCTTCCACTGTTCTCCTCGGTGGCGCCCCCTGCTAGGTCCCCGTGAGTGTACACGTCCCTGGGGTTCAGCTTTAGAAGTTTGCTTGGTAGTTTTGGGCGCCGGTTTGCAGCACCCTGCAGGAGCCGGTCGGCCGAGCGGACAGCACGCGGGACTTGTGATCCTGTGGTCCTGGGTTCGATCCCAGGCGCCGGCGAGAAACAATGGGCAGAGTTTCTTTCACCCAATGCCCCTGTTACCTAGCAGTAAAATAGGTACCTGGGTGTTAGTCAGCTGTCACGGGCTGCTTCCTGGGGGTGGAGGCCTGGTCGAGGACCGGGCCGCGGGGACACTAAAGCCCCGAAATCATCTCAAGATAACCTCAAGATAACCCTGCCTGGGACTACCTGAGCGCGAGTCCTCTTAAAGTAAACGCTCAGGACCCTGGGAATCCCCTAGGGGGCGCGTGGGTCCGATGGATGTGACCCCGGAGTCCCCACTCGCTGTGTGCGAGTTTGAGGGTTGCTCGGTCCCCTTGTCTCAGGGTGACCCTCATTGTTTTTGCCTCTGCCACGCTGCCTGTTGGGTCGGTGATACTTTCGACCCTGAGTCCTGTGAGTGTTGCTGCTTGCTTGTGACTCAATTTACCCAATCCTCTGATGATTCTATTCGGGTACAGGCGGCACGTGCGTTGCAGTCTAGGTTTCGTCTGTTGCAACGCGCTCGGTTGGTTGCTTCCCCGGATGCCCCGGGGCTGCCCCGCTTTGCTTTTCGAGACCCGGACTTGGGGGTGGGGGTCGCTTCGATCCTGGTTCAGTCCGCACCTCCTCGTCCTTCCCCTTCTGTTCGTTCTGGTCCCCCGCCCCTGCTTCCGGCCCCGAAGCGTCTGAGGGTTTCGGGGTCGGAGCAGGGGTTACTTGATCTCGAGACTCGGGCAGCTTCGGGGGTTGCCCCTTCCGGGGGGGCGGCAGAGGCATTCGAGTCTTGTCTCCCGGCCGAAGCTTCAGGGTCTGACCAGTGGGCCCCCCTTCCTCCAGCTTTTCCGGCTGCTCCGTCCTTGTCTTGTGGGGTCGGGGCTTGGGGAGAGGACTCGGCCTCGGGTCCTGTGGTGACGGACCTCGAGGCTGGGGAGGGGCTGACTTGGGGGCCTTGGGCCCCGCTGGACCCCGCCTGGGTTTTTCTTCCCACTGAGCGGGGCTTATTGTTACAAGGAGTGGGGTTTTCTTTCCCCCCCTCTGCGTACGAGTTGGATTTGGTGTCGGCCCCTCCCCGGGTACGGTTCCGTGTTCCCCCGGGTACGTCGGTTCCGTCCTTCCGGAGGTTTTCGGCTTATCGCATCCAACCTGGTGTGGTGCGAGCGGCCTTTGCAGCTTACCTCCTGCGTGACCCGGATTATGCCTCAGAAATGGATCCGTCCACGTTCAGGTTTGGGACTTCGTTCCCTTTCTGGCTCCGTTACGAGGTTCCGGAGTCATCCTGGCTAGCAGACTGCCCCTTGTTTGGTCTGGATTCCTGGCATTCCTTCTGTCGTTCCCGCACGCTGGAGTGGCGGGAAGCTTCCACGGTGCTTCAGGTTTTCCTGGGGGGTGACCTTGAGTACCTGAATGAGTGCTTGTTTGCCCCTGCCCTTCCCCGCGATGTGGGCGTTATTCAGCTCCATGTGCAGGTTCCCTCCCTTTCGGCGGCGCTCGTGGCGGAGGACTTGCGCGCTCGGGGCCTTTTGTGTTCGGCCTTGCGGTTCTTTTCCCTCCTGGAGCTGTCTTCGGATTGGCTCGTGGAGGATGTGGGGACGCTTGGGTCCGTCCCGGGGTCCGGCACCTTGTCCTCGGCTGCGCGTTCGTCGGCTGCCTTGTTGAAGCTGTTCACGCCGATTTTGCGGGATGCGGTTTCCCTGTTCTATGCTTCCCGTCTCGCGTGTCGGCAGGCGGTGCTGGGTTCCTCCGTGGAATCTGCTTGGGCTCTGGCTCTTAGGCGTTCTTCACCTTTTTGTCCTCTCCTGTTTGGGGAGTCGGCCGTGGCGCAGTTTATTCAGGCTGCGTCGGCGGCTTGTCGTCCGATGTCGGACTTGTTGGTTTTCCGGGGGTCCCGGGGTGGGTCTTCCCGGAAAGGTCGTGCCAGGGCTCGGGGTTCCTCTCGTCGTGGTAGGCCTCTGGTGTCAGGTTTGGGGTTGGCTCCTCCTGCGGACCCTCCCTCGTCTGGTCGGCGCGGTGTTCGCGCTGTGCGGGGTTCTGGGTCTCGTAAGGGTCGCCGGCCCTTTCGCGGTTTGCCCCTTTGACGGGGCGATGGGGGGGCGGCTTGCGCTGTTCGCCCGCGCCTGGTCCCACGATTCGTGGGCCTTTCGGGTCGTGTCTCGCGGCCTGCGGTGGCGTTGGGTGGCCCCTCCCCCCTTTGGGGGGTCGGGGCTGGCGGGGCAGGCTTCTTCCCCTGCGCTCTGTCGAGTCGTCTTGGAGTGGGTACGCTTGGGCGTCGTCGAAACGACGTCGTCCCTCAGATGGGTTTCCCGTCTGTTTCCGGTTCCGAAACGGGACTGCGCGGACCTGCGGTTCATTCTGGACTTGTCCCGTCTGAACCCCTGGGTTCATTGCCCCTCCTTTCGGATGACTACGCTGTCTCAGGTTCGGCTCCTCTTGGAGCCGGGTGCTTGGATGGTGTCCCTGGACCTCCGGGACGCTTATTGGCATGTCCCGATTCATCCGCGGTTCAGGGACTGGCTCGGTTTTGTAGTGGGGCGTCTGAGTTACCGCTTTCGTTGTCTCCCGTTCGGGTTGAACCTGGCACCTCGCGTGTTCACACGCCTTACACGGGTTGTGGTGGCTCGTTTGCGTCTCCTAGGTGTTCGGGTGTTGGCCTACCTCGACGACTGGCTGGTTTGGGCTCCCAGCCAGTCAGCTTGCTTGCTAGCCAGGGATTTGGTTCTTTCCCAGCTCGCCGGGTTCGGGTTCTTGGTGAACTGGAGGAAGTCCCATCTGGTTCCCTCTCAGGTTCGGACTTGGCTGGGTCTCGTGTGGGACTCTCGGACCGCCTCCTTGTCTCTCCCTCCGGAGTCTCTCCTGCGGCTGCGGTCCCGCCTTCGTCTGTTTCTGGAGGGCCCTCGGGTCACCCGGCGGTTGCTCGAGGGGCTGTGCGGGAGCCTGAACTTCGCGATGGTGGTCTACCCGCCGGGTCGGGTTTGGCTTCGACGGCTGTTCTGGTTCCTTCGGGGTTCCCTCTTCCGCCTCTCTCGCGATCGCAGAGTTCGACCCCCGGGGGACTTGCGTCGGTTGCTGCGTCACCGGCTTCCTCTTCGGGTTTTTCGGGGTTCAGTGCCTTGGCGCCTACCCGAGCCCTCGCTCGATGTGTACACGGATGCGTCGTCTCTCGGCTGGGGTTTTGTGACCAGTGCTCACCAGGCCGGCCAGGGGCGTTGGGATCCGTCCTTCCGTCGAGCTCACAGTACGGTGCGGGAGTTCGCGGCAGTGTGGTTTGCTCTGGGGAGGATTCGGGTGGCCCGCGGATCGACGATTCGGCTCCATTCGGACTGCTCTCCGGTGGTTCATTGCCTGAACCGCGGGGGTTCGATGCGGTCCTTGTCTCTTTGGGGTTGGTCGCTTCGGGTGACTCGTCTGCTGAGTTCTCGGGGTTTGGCTCTCCTGGCGGTTCACGTACGGGGCGTGTCCAACGTCTTGGCCGACGCCCTGTCTCGCTTCGTTCCCCTCTCCACGGAGTGGACGGTCGACGACGAGTCCTTCCGTTGGCTTTGCCAGACGTTCGGGCGCCCCGAGGTGGACCTCTTCGCGTCGGCGTGGTCGCGGCGTCTTCCCGTTTATGCGGCGCCCTTCCCCGATTGCGAGGCCGTCGGGGTCGATGCCTTTCGGCTCGACTGGTCGAGGTGGGGGTTCCTGTACCTCTTTCCCCCAGTTCGGCTGTTGCTCCAGGTCCTGACTCGCTTAGAGACTTACCGGGGGAGAGTTGTCCTTCTGGCCCCTTGGTGGCCGGCCCAGCCTTGGTTTCAGGCGCTGGTTGCTCGGTGTCCGAACCCGAGGGTTTTCCCGCGGCTCCGCCTCTTTCAGCAGATCGGGCCGGTACGTCACGTAGCTGGTTCGATCTTCTCCTCGAGTCTTCGCGTATGGTTTTTTTGACTCGAGTCTATCATCATCTCTATGGTGCTCAGGTGGCCTCCTTGTTGGTGTCCCACCTGAGGGCTTCTTCTCGGCGGCAGTATGAAGTTTCCTGGCGGTCCTTCCGTTTCTTTTTGCGTCTTCGTCGTGTTAGCTCCTTGTCTGTTCGGGTGGTCTTGTCCTTCCTCTCGTGGTTGTTTCAGGACCGTCATCTTATGCCTAACACTGTCGCTTCGTATCGTGCGGCGCTGGCGGAGCCGCTTCAGCTTGCTTTCGGTATCGATGTTACGTCTGCGCCGTTTCGCAAGCTGTCTCGTGCATTGTTTCACCTCCGGCCTGCTCATGCGTCGCCTGAGCCGTCCTGGTCTTTGGACAGAGTGCTCTCTTTCCTTTCATCTCCTCGTTTCGTTGTGGCCCCTTCGGTCCAGGATTGTTTTTCCAAGGCACTTTTCTTGTTGGCTTTGGCCTCTGGGGGTCGGGTAGGGGAGCTTCATGCTCTCCTCCGGCGCAGGGGTTTCTGCTCTTTTGGTCGTGGTGATAGTTTTGTTCGTTTCCAGCCGTCTCCTTCTTTTCTGGCGAAGAATGAGACTGCTGCGTTCCGGAGGGGTCCATGGGTGGTTGATGCTTGGTTGGTCAGGCCGGGGGTGCATCATGTTTTGTGTCCGGTTGCGGCGCTTCGCCGTTATTTGCGCGCCACAGCTTCTGTGTCCGGGGACGCGCTGTGGGTTGATCCGGTTTCCCTTCTTCCCTGTTCGCGGGTTCGGGTCTCTCAGGTCGTCCGCAGGGTTATTAGGTCTAGCCAGCCTGCGGTCTATCCCCGTGCCCATGACGTTCGTAAGTTCGCGGCTCTTGCTGCCGTCTTTGGGAATATGTCTTGGTCTGATATTCGGGCGCGGGGATTTTGGCGGTCGAACAGGGTCCTGGCTGCTCGTTACCTTGTGAATGTCCCTGGCCCTCGTCGGGCCTGTGTTGCTTTGGGTCGGCGGTTGCAGCCAGTTGTCTCGGCTTCGAGTTGAGGGGTGAGCGACGACCGCCTCCCGGGTAAGTCCCTCTTTTTCTGTCTGTGGGTAGTTAGCTCCGGGGAGCCGATGGGGCTCCCCCCAGAAAACCAGCGTTGAATGTAATGAAACGCCATTTTCTGGGTGAGTCCCGGAGGCTCCCCGGCATCCCTCCCTCCCTCCGGTCGGCGGTTTTTCGCGTTTTTGACATCCAGCCTCAAGAACTGAGGTGTGGGTAGCCGGCGCGGGGGGTCTGGGGCTCCCCCTTCCCCCTCCCGGGGAGGGGGGAGCTGCGCAGACAGCGGCGCGGCAGTGTGTGACGTCACACTAATTTGCTTGTTTTCGGTTGGGGAGTTCTATTCACTAGTTCGGTATTAGGTAGCAATTTTAACCAGAATAGGGGTTTGTTTTGGGGCGCTTACCTTTCTGGGTGCCTGTTCCGGTCGATGGCAGACATAGAATGCTTCCAACTACACGGGGGCTTCTATAGGCCATTGCTCCCCTTGCCTCTCTGAGGGGGCCCGGTTCTGGCCGTGGTCCCCGGTAGGCCTAAGAACTCCATACACATGACTGATGCCAAAGTCTGACATTAGCATATCAGCCTGGGATAGCTCCGGGGAGCCTCCGGGACTCACCCAGAAAATGGCGTTTCATTACATTCAACGCTGGTTATATACTTAGCGTAAGAACACGTAGTCCAAAAGACAAACTTTTAATAGAAATAGTACTAAAGGAGATTCTTACTCACCATGACTAATGGTCTTGTATAAGCTGCCACAAAAGCACTTCCACTAACTGCCAGGAAACTCTGAGCTGCAAAGACATATAAATATGTTAATATTTAATAATCTATAACTGTCAATCATGAACAATGAAAGTATTTTGTTGGTGACTGACTACACAAACTCTTCAAGCAGTGCAGGAGGCACACTTCTATACTATGCACCAAATCATACGCCATCTATTACAGGAATTTGCGCATAAACGATATATTTTTAAGCTTATAAAACCCTGCTACTTAGTGTATAGTGCTAGCATGTTCCAGATAATTGTAAACAGAATATCACTGATACATAATGAAATCACATTAATGTGATGCCTCAATGAGAAAATCAGAAGGAGCCATGAGGAGGACTAACTTACACACTTGGTACTCCCAAGCATACACCCTAGGCAACTACACCATGACATGGTAGGTAGAAAGCAGTGCAACCTGGGACTCAATTGAATCTTCTTGAGGTCCTGAGGTTTCCACTGTAGCCCAGCGAGGGTTTTACCCATATTCCCCCCCCCCCCAACATGCACTCTGGCTGTGGCCCAGGAGTTCTCCCTCCAACACTTGTGCTTGGGAGCACCAATTGCCCAGGTCTGAATCCTCCTCATAGCTCCTAATGATTTTCTCGTCACCATACCCCACTACCTATGGGAACTTCCTAGCCTAGTGGAGATGACAGTCACACGTGCAGAATCTATGCCAAAAATTTCCAATGCATTTTGAGCGTTAAAATTAATTTTTACATTAAATGTTGGTATATTCTAACCGTGTTTTTCAATATACTGTACAGCATTAGATGGAGCACACAGCAGTGCCTGGCTCTCTGTCTCCCTTCCTCCCCCCCCCCCCCTGTCTTCTTCTTCCCTCCAATCAATTCAGTCAATATCTCTTTTTTTTTTTTATAACAAATACTTAAGTCCATGGATTCTGAGGAGAACATTTCCCATTCACAGGCTTCATGGAGGAGCAGTGGGGCTGCCCTGGGAGAGAGAGAGACCCTTGTGAAGTGTATAATGCAGTACTGCAAGAGACAAACAGCAGTGTTTAAAGTTGAAAAAAACAGTCTGGAACTCTTACATTAGAAATCCCCACAGTACAATAGGCAGTTCTACACATGCGCAGAGCATTGTCATAGCAAGAAGCCTAATTACCGTCTTGTCATTTTATATGTAAATGAGCCTAAATGTCCAGCACAAGATGTTTTACCCAAATTTCTGTACAGTGTAGAAGTTTATTAGTGAATTAATGTCAGCATTAATTTTGTTAAGAACATTACGAGATGGTAACCTAATTTTTGTATTACTGTAGTTTTAGCAAATTTCCAAAATGTTTAAATATATTCTAAGCATTTCATAATTGTTAAACTAGAGATTGTCCTAATGACAGCAGATAAGATAAATTTATGTGGTCTTAAGGTACTGTTTAATATTCCCCAAATGCTTTTCTGTTTTAATATTCACCAAATGCCAAATTCACCATACAGTACTGTACTTTTCAACACTTGCTACATAACTGGCCAACCTCTCACGGTGTTCAGAGAACGCGACAAACCCCTCCAAAGGATACCTGATCACCCAGGCTGTGATTCATACGTCAGGCTGCGAGTAGCCACGTCCAACAGCTTGGTTGACCAGATGACCAAACGGGAGGCTTGGTCAGAGACCGGGCCGCGAGGTCGTTGATCCCTGGAAGTTACACAAGGTAGCCACAAGGTAGGTAATGCAATAAACTTATTATTCTTATAAAAGTGTATGTGCTAGAATGTGCTAATAATGTACTTATATGGCTTCATATTACATAACTAAATTTGGGGCTAGGCAAAAGATTATGCACATAATATAAAATTATGTAAAAAAATGCGAGGCTTACAAATTTCAGTTATAAATGGATTCTGCATGGATTATATACTGTATTGTGGTTAATATACTGTAGTACAGTTGCATATGAAGATTGGATTACAGTACCTTTACTTTTATACAGCCAGCCCCCAATTTGTTTAGTGTTGAGAATGTGGCTTGGTAATGACTTTTGAACTAAATGTCAAAGTGGGTGGGTGAATTTTTGTTATGTAGGGATAGTGTGGATCAAGGTCTACCATGCCATCAAGTTTAAGTTTCTTCTATGCCACATTGATGTTTTACAAACTTTTGGATTATATTCTTGCATCATTGCACCTCCCACTCATTCTAGACTTCATTTATTTATTATATTTGTAAAGGAATTTTTAAGCATTAGCATTCAAGTAGATGTTTTACTATAGTGTAGAAAAAAGTGGGACTTTTCGAGGTCTCTGAAATGTAACTATATTTAACTTGGAGTACTGTATACTTTTACAGCTGATTTATGGAGTCTTGCTTTATGTGGATTTTACACCAAACATCATCACAACACAAACTAAGGCCTGGCTGCCTATTCTGCATTAGGAAGAAGTGATTAACACCATAAATACTACAAATATCTTTAATCATAGTGTGTGTGACAATTTCCTTTATATAAAAATAATTCACTGAGAATATAAACATAACTGTGTATTACTAGAAATTGCTTTATAGCACACATGCCAGGTACAAAATGTGATTCCCCGACAATGGACGGAAAACATTAACTGTTAAAAAGTGACAACATACACTTATTTATGCAGGTCACCAAAAATGGACGGATAAAATTAAGACCCTATACTACTGTACGAGTTGTAAGAAATTCACTTGACATACCAATAATTAAGCAGAAGAATTACTACTACTATATCTTGCTACACAAGTCTTCCTGGCTTGGTGTCTTCTTTTGATAATTATATATTTACTTACTACTCTATCTCAGAACTGTTTCATAACATTCACTATTACAGTAATTTAATTCCTCAGTCAACAAATTGGCTACACTGATAAATACCATTATAATAAATTCCTACTTTGAAGCATCTAGTGTATATAATGTCACATCATCATACACTTTGCTAAAGTAATCAGAAAACTGAAGAAATAGTACAAAACCTATCTTAAAATTAATTTTGTAAAATACATTACATGTGAACTCAAGACTACATGATACAGTAAACAATACATCAGTTCTGAACCTTGCTATTTTCTCAAAAAACTATTTTACAATTCAAATCAATATACTGTATAATATCCAAAGTAATATACAGTAATGTACTCATTTTCATTACCATAATCCAGCATTGTAGAGCATAAACATCTGGTTTGACAACAAATTAAAATATAATACTGTACAATTATTAAGATTAAAATCCTGCATTCCAATAGCCAAATAAATATTCAGGAGGTAGATACTTTAGTGATTTTTGGACTAAGGAATGAAAGCTTATATGCTGCTAAACATAATGAGAGTATTCTTGCAAATGAGCTTAAGAATTACAAATTATTTTGTTTAAAATAATTGTGTATTATCAATTATAATTATAACTGATTACACAATAATAATTGTGTATTGTGATAATACACCCACATGTGTATTATCTCTTTTCCTTGGAACCTTTTCTAACTGCTGTAAATATACGTATCGGTGTGAACTACTCTACACTCACAATAACAGGTGAACTTTAACAAGCACCAACTCAAGAACTATCAATATTACTAATCTACCCCTTCATATACTACCGAATAAATACCTTTAACTATTTGCTTCAAAGACAGTCAACACTGTTTACAGTGCTAGGATGTGACCAATACCCTATATGCAGAAATGTCAAGCTATTACAGTACCAAATTATCTATCAGTGTTGACACCCAACCCACAAATCCGAGTATGAAGAACTGGCGACATTTCAGTCTTTCCCGGATCACTGGCAAGTTGTGTAATTACAGGACTTGATAATAGTCCAGGATGGAACAAAATGTCGTCTATTCTTCATTTTCAGAATTGTGGGTTGGGTGTCAACTCTTCAGCCATATTGTGACCCATCATCTGCACATGTATTAGTGTTATTTAAAACCTACCATTGTCTACTGGTTTTAGATGTGAGAGGATTAGCCTAAAACATTTCATGTGTAAATATTAAATATAAATACAATACTGTATTGTAACAATATGCATTTTAGTGAAGTAATGAAGGACTAGACAAATTTATAGTACACATGCCAGGCAAGTAAGGCAACTCATCTCCCTTGATGGCATATGATTTTACCAGACAAATTGGTTAAAATCCCTCCTCTAGCAGTCACAGTGTTTTCATGCAGTCATCACTTCGAACATCTAAGTTAAGAAGTGCAGAAGTGCAGGCAGTGCAACAATAGTTCTTGAACCCTGGCAAAAATCTGATATCTAATATCCTTATTGTTCCCAACCTAGTTTTAACAAAATTATGAACAGTTTTGGAATAATGTGCACATGTAGGTTAGGTCAGGTTGTTAAGGTAGTTTCAGGGTTATTAAATATACAGTATTGAAAAATTAGAAGGCCTATTGGCCTATCTATTTAGCCTATTTCACCTTATCCTCCGTGGTTATGTATTCGGTTGCTCAAGCTAACTTGTATGCTTTTCACCTCTGTCATTTAAAATATTGACAGGGTCAATGAAACACGTCTGTGTCAGGCCATATAAAACTGTAAAATGAACTTTGGAGAGTTAATTTTTCAACTTCCTTCTCAAAAAGAAAATAAGAAATAGAGAAGATTCATGCTAGAATCATCAATCTAATCTCTTTTGTCATATTAAATAACATACATGCAAACATACATCATATAAATAAACAAAGAAATAAATTAAAGATATGACTAGATTCCAGAGCTTAACATAATGATACAAGTTAGAAAAATCCACCTAAATCACCTAATAAAAATTTAGTCCAAAATAAATTGCAACAACCTTGTAAGATAGTTGCTACATCTTCATATCTCATATGTAATTCACTTGTATAAAACCTTTATCTTTAAAAGGAAATTTCTGTTCAAAGTTAAAGGCCAGATTCTTGAAGTCGAGCCTCACCCAACTTTGCAGGGTGAGAAGAAGGGGGCAAGTGTGATCAACATACACAGCTTGGGGTCAGTCCTATTGCTCCTACTAACAGGGAGTCTGCGCCAATGAAGGTGCAGCATTGACCTCTGAGAATGAACTGTTCCCTGGCAAAAGTGGTGCAAGCATTACAGTACACTCAACTGGCATAGGAATTATGGTGATTTCAGTTGGTGGAAGTATTAGTGCCCTCAGCTAGTGTGAGTATTACAGTACGCACGGTACTTTCAACTGGTGTAAACATTAGTGCTCTTAATTGGTATAACCCTTACAGTGCTCTTAATTGGTATAAACCTTACAGTGCTCTCAACTATGGTATCTCATTTACTTATTATGAGTTAAACACATATTAGTATAGTATCCCATAATCAGGGACAGGAAGCCTATTAGGCTTCTCAAGGTCCCCTTACCCAAGGCAAGACTGTCTAATTACAAGACGGACCCAACAGTGCTTAACCTGACTGACTGAGTGAAGAACATATCATCCACTGCACCAGATTGGGCAAACATGCCAATTGAATTAAATATTTACATTGACATGGTCATAAAGGCATATGAAAAGAAGGCATCAATCTGTTGCCTGCTGGTACTTGAGTCAGGAGTTATGTAAACAGCCTTGTTACTCGAAGCGGCATTCATTTCTACTCCAATCTGTAAAGTTCAAAGATTATAAACACACATTTTGTGCTTTACAAATAGTTTAGAGGGCAATGATAACCAAGTTATTTTTAAATCAGATAAATTTTTGCTGGACAGACAAAAAAGAAGAGCTTAATGCAGAGTTTTAAAAAATACATAAATTTATGAATCAAGCACTGACTGTACTGTAATGATATGCCTTTTTTCTGCTGGGCTTCCAGTAGCTCCCTAACTAAGTATCAGTTCACTTATGCCCCAGGTCTCCAAGGTCCCCCCCATCACACACACACACACATAAGGAACAGGGCCAGGTTCAATCACTACATAAACACACAGTTAACTACTAGACTCTGTATCAACAGGTCTTACATTAGAGAATAAATCCTGTGAACTACCCAGAAGTAAGGCAACTCAAGAAGAATCAACTTGTAGAGGAGGAAACAAAACTCCTTCAGATCAGGTATCTCTGGTAGGGCAAGCAAAATGCAGGTCAACTACAACAGAAGGAATCCCTGGCCTACAGTCAAGAGCAAAATACAAATCTAGGCCACATGTAATGTGGGTGGCATAAAAACTATTGTGGGAGGGAGAAAGGAAATGATAACAAGGCACTTGCTCCTGGTAGAAATTGTCCTCATGACAACCAATACCACTTAGATGAAAGTGTAAAGCAGAGGCTGGGCTCCTGTCAGAGTCTGTGCTTCTTATTCTGTGGCCAGAAGAGTGAGTAAAGGGTGTAAGGCTGGCTGTAGGCCCAGGTGACCTGGGCTGCTACCTGGTGATGGTCGAGCACATCACAGTTAATTGTGTTCACCCACAGCAATGATCATTTGCCTCGTTACCTCTGGGTGCATGACTTCCCTCACGCAGTTACTTATTTTGTTGTACTTAAGCTTTCTGGTTGGGTTTTGTGTTCTGGGTGGATCTCTGATACTCGAGCTCCCCTCATCTTATAGATAAGAGCCAGATACTGGCAAGTCTCAGTGGCCTTTTGCATCTTCTCGAGGCATGACTGAACCAATGCTTAGCTCGGGGAGCTACTAAGGGACCCTTCCAAGAAATACATTTGAACTAAAACTTGTTATAAAATACAACCTGAGAAGTAAAATAACAATATACAGTATTTTGTGGTATCCAAGAAACAATTTTACTATAGACTAAAGTGCATATAAAGAATGGAACTTACTTTTGAACACATTTCTGTTATGTCATCACCAAGGCACAGAAAAGCAATTACAGCTCCACGATTAATAGCACTGTTGTATTCTGAAGTTAAAAACACTCGTTGAGCATCTGCCACTTCCATCTTCACTTCTCGACTGTGCTGGATCTTACAATCAGCCTAAAATTGTTAAAAAGATTTGTGCAAATTTGTGAGAAATTGTAAAGGAAAAACTCTTGTATTCATCAAGGGGGGGGGGGGGGGGGAAGAGGCCTCACAAAGATCCATCTTTAATGTTCAGTACTATATATGAGGTATTTACTAACATACCTGGATAAGTGCCACTGTGGCCAAAATTGAGTTAAGTGTACCAATGTATTCCTGCAGCCCTCTATTTTGTTGGGGCATAATACTTGATCAAGAATGCAAATACTTCTTGGATCAAATATTTAATTGTCCCAAGTATCTCTCCCTCCCATATAGATTAATGAACGTGCATTAAATAGGACAAACTCAAAAACGTTCTATGGCCTCCTGTCAAACATCCCAACCCAGCACACACAACACTTCCAGACGTTTTTCTTGTCCAACATGAAGCTGTAGATGTTGAAACTCAAGTGGAAGCTCAGAGAGATGTCAACAATGACCTGCTGGATTGTAATGAGTGACTTCTATATGGTGTTAATTTGTTTTTCTCAACTAACAATGATACTCATTAACATACATGAAAATGATTGTAATATGTATAATAGTTTTATATTATAAACATTGAGTTGGGTGTGGTATCACTGGATGTGCAACAACAGGTGGCAAAAATAATCCAAGAATTAAGTGAAATTTCATACCAGGAATGGTCAAGGGCCACAGGGCTAACAACACATGACAAGGCATCAAAACATTTAAAATACAATTGTGGACAATTTGGAACGTATTTTGATCCAGACTACTATTTAAAATGGTCAGGTGTATTACATACAAGGAGCAATGGGTTCAAGCTCAACAAGCCACAATGTAGGATACAAAACAGGAGATGCTTTTTCACCCACAGGATTATGAAACCCATGGAACCTAATATTCTCTATTAAACTTAAAACTCTAGCTTGAAATAAAATCATCAGGGTAAACAAGGGGGATGGGAGGAACCTTCGATAAGCCGCCGGCTTCCTGTTCTCGTCGAGACCACTAGTGTTAATGATCCTCAGGTAAATTTAGGTAGATATCAATGACCTGCTAAATGTCCCTACACTTCAAGCCAATACCATTTGCTGATGACACAACTTTCATCTTTTCAGCTATAAACTCAAACATCTTAAATGACACGGTAAATAAATAAAATATGACGAGTGTAGATAATTACTCATGTCTGAGATTGTCATTTGACTGCTCCCTTTTGCAACATCCTTCTACCCTCAGGATACTACAAACCCCAGAATGCACCAGTCCTACTGTTCATCTTCTAAAGCAGCATAAAAGATCTTTTCTAGATGTTCTCACAAGGTCATAATAGGAGGAATAGGGAAATATTTCTCTACATTCAGAAACCTCCCCCTCTACATTCAGAAACCTAGCAATATTTTAAATAAAATGGACCCCCAAGTATTGTCATGTTATTCCTAACCAATTACTAGCTGCCTGCCTTGCTGCTATTGCCACTCATCACCAGGTGCCAGCACTGATAATGTAAATATTCTACAAGCTAACTTGCCTCATTTTCATCCCATTCACCTTGAGAAGACAGGCCACAGGGAAGACAACATAACAAAATTCTAAGCATAGGCCACTCATTTGCTCACTTGGGCAAGATTCTCAACATCCACACAAAAAGAAAGGAAATTAAAAGAACAATAGAAGGACCTTATCTATAGGACAGGAGGGTGGTCAGAAGGCACTTAGGGTGAGGGAGGTGATGAAAATAATAGATTCAGAGAAGCAGAAAACTAGGGCTTGAACCCCCTTGCTAACAAGATGATTACTAAGAGTGGCAAAAGTGTGGTTCATTCTCCAAAACCTTGTGCTTGAATGACCATGTCTGTCATGGTTGAGAAGAATACTTTGAGGATGGTGAAAACTTTTGCATGTCGTGGAACCTGGGATACACCTCCAACCAGCCGAGCTTGGGCAATCTTGCACGTTTGGTAATAAACTCATAACAGAATGACATCAGTTAATTATATACATTAAGGTATACATATGCTACATGAACAAGTGCTTGAGTCAATAAATAAGTATGCAACTTTTAACTTACAGATCGGGTTTTTAAAGAAGTGATGAACTCCATTGCTCTCTGATGTTGAGATTCGTCAAAGAAGATGATTACAAGAGCAGCCTCTCGAGCTGAATACTCAGGAGATCCCAAAGTATATGGAACAACACTGAGTTCAGTGTCCAGGTTCAAACCAACACTATGCAGGGAAGATAATAACAGGTGCAGCAGTATGTTATATTAAAAAGCTAAAGGGTGTCCCAGAATTAACTATCTATTTCTATGAAATCAAATGAATCTATTAAAGCCTACATAATTTCATATTTTTACCTAAATATGATACAAAAACAGATTTATAAATCATAAGTCAAATCTTTATTGAAAACTTTCAACATGTGCTCTGTCTGTATCCCTCCATGTTTCAAATCTAACCTTAGTACTATGAAACATTTTGAAGCATGTCAAGAGTTATGTCCTGAACTGCCAGTGAATGCATACTTAAAGTCTAAGACTGAATCTGAAATTTCCTTGAAATCTTTCTCTGATTTAATTATATCACAATCTTTTGATATGGGATGTCACAACAGAGGTGCATTCTAGTGTATTCATTATTGGGGTTAGAGTTCGGAAGAGAAGAAATAATTTAGGATTTTTTTAATTTATAACAAACATTAAATATGATAAACATCAATAAATTGGCTGCTCTGGAGAAAGTGCAACACTGAGTAATGAAAGTCATTCCAGAGCAATAACATCTCATATCAGGAACGGTTGAGGATCACAGGGCTAACAGCACTGCAAACCAGGCATAACAGGGCAGATCTGTCATGCCTGATCATTGCAGTCCCCGTGGCAAAATGGTAGCACACTCGCCTGGCGTTTTGTGAGCGCTTTGGCATAGGTCGGCCGAGCGGGCAGCATGCTGGACTTGTGATCCTGTGGTCCCGGGTTCGATCCCGGGCGCCGGCGAGAAACAATGGGCAGAGTTTCTTTCACCCTGTGCCCCTGTTACCTAGCAGTAAAATAGGTACCTGGGTGTTAGTCAGCTGTCACGGGCTGCTTCCTTGGGGTGGAGGCCTGGTCGAGGACCAGGCCGCGGGGACACTAAAGCCCCGAAATCATCTCAAGATAACCTCAAGAAGATAGGTTCGTATCTTGGCCAGGGAGGATTAATTGGGTGCCAGTTCTTAACTGCAGCCTCTATTCACCCAGTAGTGAATGGGTACCTGGTTGTTAAATGATTTGGCGGGTTGTAGTCCAGGGAAAATTTGGATTAAGGACTTACCCGAAATGCTATACAAGAACTCTTGTATATATAAATACAAAGGCTGTACAAGAACTCTTGTATATATAAATAAATAATAATAATAATGATGATAAAAAATCTTATTGAAACATTTAAAATACTGTACTGAACAATTTAGAGGATGTTGATCCAGACAATTTCTTCAAAAGGTCAGATGTAACACAAACAAGGAGCAACAGTTTCAAGTTCAATAAGCCACAATGTAGGACTAAAAACAGGAGATGCTTTTTCACCCACAGAGTTATAAACCCATGGAACTGCCTACCCACCAAAGCTGTAAATGCCAAAACTGTGTTAAATTTTAAAACACATCTGGAAAAGATCATCAAGGCAAATGGGGGGGGGAACCTTCGACAAGCAGCCAGCTTCCTGTCTTCTTCAAGGCCACTATGGTTAGTGGCCCTCAGGTAAATAAACACGGGTTTTTAACAAATACATCTGATTTCATAAATAGAATAATTCTGGGACACCCTGTACATACGTTATTAGCATAAAATATCCAACATTACTGGTATTTAACAAATTTACAATTTAAGAAAGAGATAAAATGCAATTAAAGTTGATGCTTTCTATTAAGAATAGTAACAAGATACTAAAATATAACTACTGTAAACATTTTTCAATCATAATGAATCAAAGAAAGTACTGTACTGTATCTCAGACATTATGCACCTACCTGTTGGAGTCAAAAGGTACTGTGTTTGTGTAATGTTCACAATTTCAGAAGTAAATAATATGTACTTGGGGTTCTAGCATTGAGAAAATCAACTGTATCATTACAACAATGGTCAAACTTATGGCATCTTGGTCCTTCTAAAAACTAGACCCACTGATAAAGGTCATCAGTCATATGTCCTATCATTAGACATAATTTAAACACAGTACTGTACTGTGGGACCCCCAGTTTAACATCAATGCAAGGTGTCTATACAAAGCAAGTCTTAACATAGAAGAAATATATGTACAGTATATAATATATATATACAATATTGTAATCTAAAACATAATCCCTCATATCTCTCATCTTCACTTCACTGACCTCACCCATCCCCCCGTTTTACCCCCTTCTGTAAACACTAACAATGTGCATCTGATAAAGCCATAAAGATAAAAATGTTTCAACATTTTTCAACAACAGCTTACTTATATACCAACCTCTTAAACTGCTCTCCCTCCGGCAACTTGAATGATGCTGACAGAGCTGCTGCCTGATGAAAACAAGACCAGTTTGTCTCTCCATCCACTGGTGTAAAGTCATGAATATTGGACCAATTATTGTTGAAGACACTGATGCCAGCACCAGTGAACTGATCTGTAAAAGCAGTCCACTACAACACTCAAGAATAGAGAAAGCTTTAGAGGTTGGATGTATGCAGCTTGAAAGTAAATTGTGCTTTATGTACAGGTATTATCATCAATCCCAAGACAAAGGCACTATTTCTGCACATTGTGTCAATCAATAGTGATACTTTCTGAATGTGTAAAGATGTACAGTATGGTTAATCAGGAGCATCCCTGATTTATGTGCTAAACATAATTTTATAACTGACAATAAAATGAGGGCAGTAATCAGAGGCAATGTATCGGACTGGAGAAATGTCACGAATGGAGTACCACAGGGTTCAATTCTTGCACCAGTAATGTTCATTGTCTACATAAATGACCTACCTGATGGAATACAGAATTATATGAACATGTTTGCCGATGATGCTAAGATACTAGGGATAAGGAATTATAAAACTAAGATGATTGTCATGCTCATTAACAAGACCTGGACCCACTAAGTATATAGAGCACCACTTGGCTAATTAAATTTAATGTGAATAAATGCCATATTATGGAATGTGGAATATGAGAAAATGGACCACCCACAACCTACAAATTATGTGAAAATTTAAAACAAAAATTCTGATAAAGAAAGAGTTCTTGAGGTAGTTTTACATAGAAAACTATCACCTAAGGACCATATAAAGAACATCATGGAAAAGGCCTATGCTTCACTTTCCAATTTTAGAACTGCTTTTAAAAACATGGATGGTGAAATGCCTACTAAAGAAATTGTTCACGACCTTTGTTAGACCAAAGCTGGAATATGCAGCAGTTGTATGGTGCCCATATCTTAAGAAGCAAATCAATAAACTGGAAAAGGGCACAGGTAGGGAGTCCAGGGGGAAAGACTGAAAATAAGGGGGCCTGCTGGTGGGACCCAGAAGCCTCGGTAGGAGAAACCGCCTTGAATGCTAACGTCCTCCAACCCGAATGGGGCAGCCCCTTGAAGCTGCCAGTTTCATTACCAACCAAACCCTGCCCCGACTCCAAAACTCTCAGATGTTCGTGAGCCTGAAGAGGAGGGGATGAAGGTAATGGAGCAGGGTGAACAACAGGGGAAGGACCAGGGAGCATGGACTGAACCAAAAGTCAAAGCAACCAATGTCCCCAGGTCCAGGTCCCTATAACCAAAGTGGGACAGCTGTTGGGCATCCAAGTGGGGAAACCAATCTAGCTCGTTGCAGCAACCTAAACCTAGCATGCAACATGGATGTTGCCTGTACCCTAACAGTAATGTCATCAGAATAGTACTGCAGTACAAGCAGAGAACACGACTCAAAGCCCCAAGGGCAGGGTAAATGCAGAACAGCAAAAACCCCTACAGAAATGGTTCCTGAATGCACCAGGGAAGAGAACACTAACACGCAAGGGCGGTACTCACAGGGCGTCTATGGAAGGATGTCCCTAAGCGCATGCAGCCCAGGTACTCTGGAGGAAACCTGGCCATCATACACAACAACACTGCAGAAGTCGCCACGAAGGCAAAACATCGCCTTGGAAATCGAAGCCAAAGAAGATGTCTGCCCCGGACCATATTAGTGAATGAACTGTAGTGCTAGGTAGCCAGTGCAGGGAGGTCCGGGGCTCCCATCTCAGGGAAGGGAGGGTTGTGCGGACGAGCGACGAAGCGGTGGAGTATGACATTTGCTTTTCTTGGTATTGGAGGGAATTCGACCTCTCTTTTTGGTTTTTAGCTGTAATTTTCTTACCATGTGGGGTTTGTTTTGTTATGCCTACCTTTCTGGGAGCCTAACCCCAGTCGATGGCAGATAAAGAAAACCCACAACTACAGGTTGATTTTTCCAGGACCATTGCTCCCTGCACCTCTCTGAAGGGGCCAGGCACTGGCTTGTGGTCCCCGGTACGCTGAACTCCATAGATTAATGCCCCGGTCTAATGTATTACACATTAGCCCACAGAATAGAGCTCCAGAGGGGCTCCCCACAGAAAATTCACTTCACAAACAGTGGTAGACAGTTGAAACAGGTTAAGTGAGAAAGTAGTGGAGGCCAAAACCATGAGTTGTTTCAAAGCATTATATGACAGAGTACTGGGAAGGCAGGACATCATGAGTGTAGCTTGCATCCTCTAACTACACTGAGGTACTGTAATTACCAACTGGAAGACCTTTGTTTGAATAGCTGTAAATATTGCCAAAACAACATAAACAATAGAAAACTAGTGGCTATACTTAATAAACAATTACTGCACCCACTATGGAACATTTGAACTTGTCTAATGCATTGTACAGTATAGTGTATGAATATATTATTAATATTTTTATTAAGGTACAAAATACCCTCAGGAACCGTTTTCTTACTGGGGAATATCTGGTTACCTTTAAGCTGTGGGTAGAATGCCTGGAAACATCCAAACTTCATCTTTGTAGAGGCTTCAATAATAGGTTGTGTCTGACACAGCAGGAATATTTCCATCTTGCAACAGTCCCGTGTTCGGAACTGTCCACAGGCAGCCATCACAACACAGTCTTGACAGTCACGCAGGAACAGGCTGGGGTAAAGTAGGTGTGATTTTTATTTAGATTTAAAATTAAATATATTTAAACATGAGGAATCTGTATATAACCGTACAGGTAATTAGAATACCAAAATAATCTTATGCAATGTGGAATTGTAGATCTTTATGCTGGCCTACATAAATGCAATAATCACACAATTACCTTTGTGGAAATGCAGACCTAATTTTCCCAGATAACCATAGCTTCAAATTCTACAGTGTTTACCGGGAATGTATTACTCAAGTAAATTGTGGACCAACTGTACTGTAAATAGGCAACAATACATTGATTGTACCCATGAGCATTATAGTGATACACTGAACATACCTTCCAGTTGTAGGACCAACAAATATGGTACAATCAGAGCAGTCATCAATAGTTATGGTGTTGATGTGGTCCAAAAGGTATATCTGTGAAGCCTGGCAATTCTGGATAATAAACTGTTGTCCTTTGATTGAGCCAGGGAGTCGCCCAACTTCTTTATCGCTAACATTTTCAATTGTAAAGTCTGCAGGGTTTATTTTTTCTTTTTTATCCCTGTCAACAGAGAGATTGAGCTGAAAAAACACAATATATAGAAGAAAGAATAACAGTCCAAGCATAGCATTAGTAATAGAATTTATTTTGTCAACAGATTTATAGAATGCTAAGAGCATTAAAAAACTGAGGTCTTGAAAAGTTGCTTTATGAATGCAATATAATAATAATAATAATAATAATAATAATAATAATAATAATAATACTGTAATAATAACAATAACAAGAGGGAGTTGTTAATTTGGAGGATATTGATCCAGACTACTACTTCAGAAGGTCAGATGTAACAAATAAGGAGCAACAGTTTCAGGCTCAACAAGCCACAATGAAGGACTGAGAACAGGCGATGCTTCTTCACCCACAGGGTTATTAACCCATGGAACCACCTACCCGCCAAAGCAATAAATGCCAAAACATTGCTGTAATTTAAAATCTAGCTTAATAAGATCTTCAGGACATATTGGGAAGATCTTTGATAGGCCACTGGCTTCCTGTTCTAACAGAGGCCACTAGATAATGACCTTAGGTAAATTCAGGTAAATAATAATAATATTTTATCCATGCAATAGACAATATTTTGCCATTTGACAAGTTAAATGTTGTAATTATCTACCCAACTATTAAATCATTAATTATCTAATTATCTACCCACATGTAGTGAGTAATAAGCCTATAGGCCTTATTGAGTTCATTTTTATATGTACACTGCAGTACTGAAATAAATTTGCAAGATATACTCTATCTTTTTTACTGAATCAAATGTATTGTATAAGCTACTACATCTCACGTGTTTCACTGCAATAGGCTGTAGACAAAATTATCAATCATGTAGGTGTAGATGATGAAGTGAGTGACAGGTGTGAGGGAGTGACCGGTGTGAGGGAGTGACAGTGACAGGTGGGAGGGACAGTGACAGGTGGGAGGGACAGTGGCAAGTGGGAGTGACAGGTGGGAGGGACAGTGACAGGTGGGAGGGACAGTGACAGGTGGGAGGGACAGTGACAGGTGGGAGGGACAGTGACAGGTGGGAGGGACAGTGAAAAGTATGAGGGAGTGACAGGTGGGAGGGAGTGGCAGGTGTGAGAGTGACAGGTGTGAGGGAGTGACAGGTGTGAGGGAGTGACAGGTGTGAGAGTGACAGGTAGGAGGGACAGTGACAGGTGGGAGGGACAGTGACAGGTGGGATGAACAGTGACAGGTGGGAGGGACAGTGACTGGTGGGATGGACAGTGACAGGTGGGAGGGACAGTGACAGGTGGGAGGGACAGTGACAGGTGGGAGGGACAGTGACAGGTGTGAGGGACAGTGACAGGTGTGAGGGACAGTGACAGGTGTGAGGGACAGTGACAGGTGTGAGGGACAGTGACAGGTGGGATGGACAGTGACAGATGGGATGGACAGTGACAGGTGAGAGGGATAGTGACAGGTGGGAGAGATAATAACAGGTGTAAGTGGTGGTAACAGGTGTAAGGTGATAACAGGTGTGAGGGATGGTGACAGGTCTGAAGGACAGTAACAGGTGTAAGGGGGGGGGAGATACAGGTATGAGAGTGGCATGTATATTTGAGTGAAATGTGAGGGGTGAGTGAGACAGGTACGAGGTCGAGTTTCATGTTTGAGGGTGACGAGATGAGTGACAGATGTGATGGTGAGTGGAGGAAGATATGAGGAGTCTGAAACATGTGAGTGACGTGGGTTGAGGCGAGAGGGTGAGACCAGTGACAGGTGTGAGGTAGACTGAGACAGGCATATGTGTGATTAGGCAAGACAGACACGTATGAAGTTGAGTGACAGGTGGGAGAGCGAGTGTGATAAGTGCGAGTACAAGCAGCAGGGGTGACACGTTTTATTAAGAGAACTACTGCTGGTGGGCGTGTCCCAGGGGTGCTTCAGACCCCAGGACTCACCAGGAGTAGGCCTTGGGGTGGGGTTGGTGGCTAGCCTCGCCGTCAGCGCCGCCGCCAGTGCTCTGCAGACACCCCATCTCCTCGCTGCCTCCCTCACTCCTCACAACCTTTTTCCCGCGAAGAATTCTTCCCTCGCATCCCTCCCCTGCTATTATGTCTACATCACCCTACTCCTCCTTACTCACCCAACGCTTACTCATTGGCTTTTATTTTGTATTATATTTATCACGTAATAAATATTTATTATAATTGCATTAAAAAGTTGAGTTTTTGTTTTATTATTTCTTGTTCGTTTGTGCACGTGGCATAGCTGTAACCAATATGTCTAATATATCATATTAGTTAACATAATGGTATTATTGATATGGTTATGTGAAACCTAATAACTAGTATGAGTTATGAGTGAAGACCGGTAGATGAGCGTAGTGGAGGTGTATGGGGTAAGATGAGTGTAGTGTGAGGAGGAGGAGGGTTGAGACACGGTGTTTACACCTGCACCACCGCCAGCTGGACACACTCCTCAGCCCTCGGCCACAACAACGACACACTCCTCACACACTACACACATTCGAGTGCCTTCACACCTCGCAATATCTTAGGCAGCCCACGAGTGTACCAGAGGATCAGAAAGACTGCTGAACTAGGAGGTGAGAGCCGCCTTCACTCTCCTTCAGTATTGCCAATCACCTTCTCTGCCTCTCCTCGAACACAGTTTAAAACATTATTCAATGAATTTTCAGACAAATGTCAGTCGTATAGAACAGTACAAGCACGAATCTGTAGATTCGTTAACTATTACAGTATAATATGTTGTTCCTGTCCTCGTCGAGGCCACTAGGGTTAGTGGCCTTCAGGTTAATCAGCTAAATATGCTAAATAAAACCTGTAAGAATAATGGACACAACTAGTTGACGATGAAAATATCAAGTGGCATTTTCCGTATTGTTAATGTGTAGTTCAGTCCCTGAGCCTCTGTGCCTCTGTAACCCTTTCCACTATCGCCCACAAGATGGGTATGGGGTGCATAATAAATGAACTAAACTAAACTAAAACTTCTAATGCTTCTATAATTTTGACATAGGGGTTGGCCTATTAGAATAGAACCAGTGAAGAGCAGAGGTGCCATAGGCACAATCAGAGAGCACTGTATAAACATCAGAGGTCCGCGGTTGTTCAACGTCCTCCCAGCGAGCATAAGAAATATTGCCGGAATAACCATGGACATCTTCAAGAGGAAACTAGATTGTTTCCTCCAAGGAGTGCCAGACCAACCGGGCTGTGGTGGGTATGTGGGTCTGCGGGCCGCTCCAAGCAACAACCTGGTGGATCAAATTCTCACAAGTCAAGCCTGGCCTCGGGCCGGGCTTGGGGAGTAGAAGAACTCCCAGAACCCCATCAACCAGGTATTGCAAAAGATGTGATGTAAAATCGTGGTGACCTGTGTTGTTGGAAGCACAAAGAGAATATCAGTCTCGTGGTCGGTTTAGTGCTCTTAATCTATCGAGTCTAGAGACGAGAAGGACCAGAGGGGGAATATAATCACTATGTTTAAATTATTGAGTCAAATATAAAAGATGTACAAAGACAGTAGTGGTGGTGGTAAGCATACCACCACCACTACTGTCTCCATATTCACTACAGAGAACAACTACAAACACAACCATGACAACATTCACTCTTCTTGTTACATGAGCCTTTACTCACTTCTCCAGCCTGTGCACATCACACTCCCTCAACTCATTACAGCAGCCAGGTCATTATACCATTTACACCACTTAGAAATGCCTTTCTTGATCACTACAATTGAAACTACAGTAATGGTTTTATTTACAGTAATTTATTTTGTTTATTTTTGCATACTATAAGTAGGTAAATATTAATTAGTTTACTATATAGTAATTGTAACCTTGCTCTATTATTTTTATATACAGTATAAATAAGTACCTCTAAAGTATATTTCCTTTCACAGATGGATGCAGAATCTCGGTGAAAAACCCAAGTGTGTGCACAACAACTCTATACATGATACCATTAGTCATCGCCAGGTTGATGGGACAATGCGTAAATATCAGCAGCTTGCTCTTACCATTGTAGCCATTGTCAGTCTTGTTGCCTTTTTGTTTTATAAACATGAATATGAAAGATTAAGGTACACACTTGAATATCTTGACACGTTTGGGGAAGCCCCATCTAAAGGGGAAGTTGTTAGACCACAATGTGGATACAATACTCATCACAAGATATCTACACCACCCACAGACTGGGTGCAGGTGACATCTGATCTTGAAGTCTACTCTTCATTTTGGGATGACCAAAATGGTATTGGTGAACCTCAGATTAGAACTATAGCAGCTGTACGCAAAAGTATTGAAGCTCCCTCAGACCTCGGCAGCTTGATTTGGTTTGAGTCAGAAGGAACACCTGTCCCTGGAACTTGCAGTGTTGAATTTGCATCAGAGAGAGTCCATGGACAGAACACACTTGAAGAAGATATAGGTGTTCTCTATATTTTATGCACTGCTGATGATAAAAAGCTAATGCTTAGCAAAACACCATACATGATACAATTTAAGGTAGGCTCTGCAGAACCATCACAACCTGTCTTTATACATGAGAGTGAGAGCTTGAAGAGCATCATCAACAAGTCTGCAATTTGTATTCTGCCTGCTGAGAGCCCTGTTGCTACTCTAAAAGTTATTGAATTTATCTCATTTTATAACATTATTGGGGTAGATAAATTTTCAATATATGGGCCTGTCCTTACACCCTTGGCTAGAAAGCTACTGGATAAGTACAGTGATGAGGTAGGTATTGAATATGAAGAAAAGCTCTTTAGTTCCTCACAAAATTTTAAGCTTACTCAGCCTGTGGTAAAGAGAATTATTGAACTTGACTGTATTTACCGCCATAGGGACACTCAGGAAAATGTTTTGATACTTGATTTAAACCATTATGTTATGCTTGAGCTCAAAGCCACTCTGCAAGAAACCCTTCTGGCCCTAAGGGGTGGCAACCATCATCATCGGGATGTGGCAGAATTTCACCTGACCACCCAGAAGGTGTGTTTAGATAAGCAGCACATGAAGAAAGGTACCTTACTTTTATCACAGCAAGTACGAACAGTGGGACGCATGAAGGAAATGGGAGTAGCAATCTTACGGCCTCACTTTTTAACAGCATCATCAGTTGGTGGTGCGGGTGGTGGTCCTCCAGTCAGTCAACATATTTCTGCTGCTACAGTAGTAGTTCATAATTACTCTGTTTGCTCCTCTACGGATAATCATGATGACAGACTCCATCTTCCTACATACAAAAAATTTGTGGATAAATTAGAAAAATCCCTCTTGTACAGGAAGTGGATAATTAACCACTAATTACTATACTGCATTGCATTCTGTGATAAATCAGAAACAAAGGTTTTAATGTGAGTTAATTTATTGTTAAGCCAAACATAGCTAGTGATTTCAAAAATATATATTCTTGTCAACAGTTTGGACAATTTTAATGTACAGGAATACTGTACAGTACTCAAACTGTTTTTCCAGTACCCTGTATGTGTAAGCCTAAGTTAATGTAATGTATAATATTGGCTGGTGGATTTTGTATCTCATTGTTTATTTACAGTAGTTTTACAGATAATACTTAAGTATTGAATTGCCTTTCAGAATTGCTTTACTTATAATGAATATGGTTTTCCCCATATTTAAATTTTATGACTATAGCTTTATTGTATGGCTGCCAGACATAACTTTCATTTATACTGGAACACATATTTTATATGCTGTATGTAAATGGTTCTCTGTATGCTTGGTAAGCTGGAAGAGTATAAATTAATATAGCTTGTGTCTGTATTACGAGACGAGCAAAATGCTTGCTTTTTATATAAAGCTCATCGTAATCACAACTTTTTTGAGGAACTTTTTGTAAATAAAGTTAAGAATGCTTTCTGCATTTGTTTAATGACACCAGAAGAAAAAAAATTGTTTTATGCACAAGCAAGAATCTGAGACGTTGGTACATATCAAATCAGATTTTATAATGCATTGGTCAGACAGTACAAAACTTGTATTATAATTCATTCCTTGTTGCACTTCATTTTTTTTTTCATGAGTACAGTAGTTAACTCCTGATAGCAGGCTTTTAGCTATACCTTCACATAACTTAAATTAGGTCCTGCTGTACAAGTTTTCCCAGGAAAATAACTAGTCAGGTGGTTAATAGTCAGGTCTCTAATTACTGTTGGGTGAACAGGACTTGAACCCAGAAGAAATCCCTCACAAGGCACGAGGAGTGTGTACCACCATTACACCAATATATAGAAGCTTCTGAAGATCTAACAGTGTCCTGCCATCCCACATCCTCATAAGAGCTGTCACACTGGGCGACTCCACCTTTCCAGACCTGCGATGGTCCTGCTGTCCAGGGGCCAGGTTCACTAAGCAGTTACGCAAGTACTTACGAACGTGTACATCTTTCCTCAATCTTTGACGGCTTTGGTTACATTTATTAAACAGTTTACAAGCATGAAAGCTTGCCAGTCAACTGTTGTTATTGTTATATACAGCCTCCTGGTGCTTTGCAGCTCATTAACTGTTTAATAATTGTAAACAAAAGCCACCAAAGATTGAGAAAAGACGTACAGGTTCGTAAGTGCTTGCGTAACTGCTTTGTGAATCTGGCCTCAGGTCTTGTCATCAGAGCTGTGTTTTCCATGGGTTAGTCTCGTCTTTTTTTTTTTTTTCTTTCCCCTTATCTATATTTTCTCTTGAGATAGTCCCTCTTTTTTTATAAAATTGTATGGCTCCTTGAAGAGGTGTTATTATGAGGAAGTCCCTGGAAAGCTACGTTTCTGAGATTGTAGCAGAATTTTAGCATTTTGATGAAATGCCCCTGTTCACTTGAGTTTTTTCAGTTTTTTCGCTTAGTATCATGAGTGGAAGGATTGCCTTGCCAAGGCCTCGGGTGGCTAACTGGTGGGGGTACCAGTGTTTTTTTGTGAATTCATATTTTTGTGCATTTCACCTCGGTAGTGAGTTGATCTGTGATTCTCATGTACTCCTACACCCCATAGAGGGGGCAAGAGTCTCAACTATCTTTGTAGGAAGGATTGGATGTGCTGTACATGTATTATGATTACAAAGTCAGTTTTTACTATGCTATGTATGTAACTTGATTTTGTAAGTTTTATTAAAAACTTAATTTTTCTATGGAACAAGGTCTGTTAGTCATATATACCATCTGCAAATACACAAGTTTTGTATAGGTTTCAGTTGATGTTTCATTTCTCAAAATAGTTAATATGGCCATCTAGGTTTTAAGTTTGGTTCTTACTCTTCTCATTCTAATATAGTACCTCAAAATGTTCTTCAGTTCTGAGAAATGTGAAGAAATAACTATTTGTATGTCTCATACCATTCTCAAGTGTTAAGAGTTTTTTCTTGTGCAAAGTTCTCTGTTTAGTTCCATGAATATTTTGTTTCAAAGCATAAATGCCATATGCACAAGTATCATTTTCCCTCTACATCCTGGCAGCTCTGGTCACATTCCAACATGATTGACCAAAAAGATTTAGTAACATTCTATTACCACATAACCAGGACCTATTGTTTCCATGTAGCTCCTTTAGTTTAGCCATTGTGATTCACCACCATGCTTGGATAGAATGTGTGATGTAAAGGGGTTTAAACTTCTATCCACATCCCACAGTTCTCAAGTTATTTTGAAGCAGTGGATCATATGCTTGCATTTTGTTGTTTAATAGTAAAGGATAAATAACTGTCACAGATGGGTGGCTATGTACTCTGTTGATCAATCTAAGCTCAAACATAATCTTAACTCACACTGGATAAAATCTTTGCTCAGTTGCTATATAATCAGCCAAATGAATTGTCATTTTGTAATCAAATCATTAGTTGCTCAGCGCATTAGAATAGAATGGGCAAATGTTGGCTGCCTGCACTTAACTAAATTTAAGTAAATATCATCCACTAAAAATAAATACATTTGTTTAGTCGACTTGGCAAACAACTCATTGCAATATTCCATCTTTTCTCTCATATTTGCTTGATCAGTGTACAAGTTACATAGTCAACAGCAGTTTTCATGTACATTCTGAATTCATATTGTAATCTTTGTCTATTATTCAATGAAGGCCATTAAAATATGGATATCCTACTAGCTTTGATATTTATTGTAATGACTAGGATATGCTATATGTTTTAGAGCCTAGGTTGGTTACAAAAGCAGTTCAAAGATAGTTTTTATTTAAAAAATATACATTAGTGTTTTATCACAGTCCTGTAAATGTTGATTCATGGAAGGATGGGGGATGTAGATTATGAGTTACTAAAGTACAGTATTAGGAAGATTGTATATCTCCTTCATTCACACCTAAGCTGGCCAGGAGTGTCTGGTACCCTTGTCTGGAAAGAAACAAAATATAACTCTTAGAATATAGTTAGTAATGTACATTTAGAGTGGAGCCAAAAAAGGAAGGTGACTGGTGCCCATACCTCGCACGTGTCAGAATATGAACTGGGGTGGCGAGGGACATGGTATCAGACGACAGAAGTGCACGTGTGAACAGGACTACCATGCTTCACTAGCTGTCTGTACAGTATAAATATAATTAAAGATACTCTGGGAGTTGGGAGTACTTATCAATGGCTAGCATAAATGTTTCTTACTACAAATATGAAAGATACAAATTTAAAACTGTCAGGATCATAATAATGAAAACTTTATACAGAATTTTGTTTGAATATATAGGACACTTTACAAATTCAAACTGCCTCTGTGCTTTCTCTTGCTAATTGCTGTACCATGGAGTGTTTAAAAAAAAAATTACAATGCTATAAAAAGTTTTCAGCCCCATTGTGCCTCACTGTCTGCTTAGTTGACATCCTTTATCAAGTCGTGTCATTGCACGACTTTGGTTCAGGATGGACCGAAACTCCACCACTTCTTCATTTTCAGCTATGGCTTAAATATTCAAAAGTTTAACCCTCAGTGCAATTGTCAAATGAAGTTGAAGTCAGATAAACTTCCCAGATCAGCACTTTCGCCTTCACAGCAAGTGGTGGCAGAAGTTGGAGCACTGCTGTTGCTTTGGTTGTGGGGAGTCTTATGCTGATCAGGGACCAGGAGCTGAAGTCCAACTGCATCTTCATATGACAATGACCACATTGAGGGTTAAACTTTATTTTCTTTAAATACACATTCCATATTTTAATAATGTTTTGAACCACTACTGTATATAGAATAAGTTTTCATTATAGTCACCAACTGTGGCGGTGGCAGCAGCAGTGCTGCCACCAATAGCAAATGTGTACACTATTTACAAGAATTATTACCAGCACCAAGAATGTTTCTGCTTGTTTTTTTCATAAGGGTAACTTGATAAAGCCTTTAATTTTGAGGATAATGAGGTAACAGGTTGCACTCACTGCTTCTGTACTCACCGTAATGTGTGATCCAGTCCCGTGCCTCTCTTTTCCTCTGTAGCTGTAACAGCTTGAGCAATATGTGGGAGACAATCGACCAAGAGTGTCCTGTGTAATACACCCACAACACCTAACACTCGAAACAATCTTGCTGATGACCAGGACACATGCTGCGCTACTAGTTGTCTCAAGGATCTCACAAGTTCACTCCTATGTCAATGATAAATGTATTATTGTTTAATTGTCACTAACATTTTACTTTAGTTTTGGTCTAAATACTGATCTTTCTTTACAATATCTGAAAAAGGATATAAAGTCGCATCTAATAAAATTTAATGATCTTGATAAAGAAATACAGTACTACATAATGAAATTCAAGAGAAATTATAAAGCCCTGAGTAATGAAATGCCATTATCTGCATGGCACTTCATTACACTCGTCCTCTACTTCTGGGTCGGTCCCTTCAGTAACTCCCAGAACTATTCTGAAAAACCATCCCCCCATCACAAGGCCAAGAGGGAAAGTAAACTTGTAAAGACAAAAAAAATGGACTTATTCATGCAATCAAAACCATGGTGGCAGGACCCCAGGAAGAATTTGTACAGCTCTCAAGGACACATCACTCACCACTGTAAAGCAACTTCTTCGAGAACAAACGATAACAGGATGCTAACACATGTTAAGACCTCCAGAACTCCTGGATAATGGCTGTAGGTTTGCAAAGGCCATCAAAGCATCATATTTATGGAAATTGTGGACCCTGGGATAAACATGAGGTTTATTAAACTTTGCCATCATATAAGCTGAGATGACCTCATTTAAGTACATGGCATGAGAAGGGGATTTAAAAAACAGTAGTATTGAATGGGAAGAACTGTAAGTGGTGGATCTTTGGTCACAAAAACTGTGCCTTGGTTACCCGAGGACTGAGAAAATGAAGCCAACTTATTCTTCTCCAAGAAAAGGAGGCATTTGCAACTTTAGAAAAATGATTCCCTGGTCCAAAAGAACAATAAAATATGATCTCAACAAAGTACATGAAGCTTATGAACCCTGCTGCCCTAAGCAAGAGTTGGCAATAAGACGGCCCCTACCATAACTTCCAAAGGTGGAGGTAATTGAAACCTCAACAAATACAACACATTTAGGACACTATCCAAGGACCGAGATGGCTCAGGAGGAGCACGAGGCAGTCTAAAATGAAAGAATGATATTTTATTAAATGAATTTACCTAAGAAAAATAGAAATGGAATGCCAAATGATAGATGACAGTATTCCTAACAAGTCAGCAATCTGCAAAGATATGCATTAAGAATGTCACCTCCGATGACACACAAGAACCATAATGAAGGGCCAAATACTGATGAAAAGCTGTCAGTGCCACCTCATACTATAGCCTTGGCATGTGCTGCAATAGTGACACAAAAATGTCTGCAACCCTACCTTGTATACAGACAGCAGTACAATGACAATACTCCACATACAAAGATCTGCAGAGAGCCGAGAACCATCTTAATTGATTTGGCACTCGGAGACTCAGTAAAGAAACAGAATGTGGGTAACAAGAGAGGATGCCAAGAAAGCAAGACTCAAGCCAAGAGAATGATGGAGAAAACTTGAACTAAAGGAACAGACAAAGTTCTACTTGTTTGAATCAAGGCACAAAGCATCCTTTGCCAAGACCTTGCGATATAGCATGGGAATGAAAACCAAAGCAATATTGCTCAAAGTTAAAAGTAGCCATAGTTTTTCCCCAAAGTACTATACTATAAAACCATAAGGTAGTGCTATCATGCATACCTAATAATAAGAGATCAAAGCAAAACAATTAAACTTGCAGTTGACTGTACCTAGGTGGTGTATTCTGAATCTGGACTTCCTGCAGCAGCTTCTGGAGGAGGTCAGTTGCCACTCTTTTTGTTGTTTGTTCCTCCAGTGTCAGCAGCAACTCCAGGAGGGGCAGAAACAGCAAGGAACATACTCCCTCAAGCCATTCACATGCACTTCTTTTCAATAGCTCCAGTAGCAAAGAAATTACCTGAAAGGGTAAATGTATTGGTAATTAAAGTTGTTAATAAATTTATACAGGGGGCTGAGGGTTTGAACAAAATCCACCGTGCAACGATCAGCTTCACCCCATGTAGTTCGTTCAAGTGAGTTGATACTATAAGCTGCCATTGTCACAAACGGGAAGTGAATTTGGTTTATCAAGGTAGCCCTAACTGAATGATACTCCTGTCATCCACTGTGCTACACCAGGAGTTCATATAAGGGGATACCACCTGTACTTGAATTGTTGAGGACCCTTAGCCTTTGAGAAAAATTAATTAGCATATGATGGAATTTTGTAGATTCCCACAAATGTACAATACCATACCAGCACATATCAGCATACATTAATTAATTTTCAAATACAGTACTGTATATATAAAAAAAATAGAAATATAAAGCTTACTATGTTAAGATGGACACTGTCGACACCTCGCTTGCCCAGATAACCGTCACGTAAAACCTCCAAAAATATTGACCGCAGTTCTTGTAGAACTTCCTCTCTCACTTCACCATCATGAAGACAAATCTGAAACATAAAATTAATACAATAACATATGGCGTGATAGTACTTCATTGCTACATACAAGAACCTACTCCAGTGCACTGGAAATAAAACTGATTACTGAAAGTCTGGCAACTATCAGACTCGTGTACGAATTTAACAAATTTATATATTGTATGGAAGACTTCTGTTTCTTTCGTGAAGTGGTTTTATGCCCTTTTCTGTGCAAAATATGAAGTCAGTAATCCTCAGTTCTACTCTTTATAATAAGTCACAAGTACCAACAGTGTCAAGTTTCTGAGCTGCACCACTCACTCGCTCCCTTAGGCAATGTTGTGCTCTTCCCAGACATAGTGTGGGCAGGTTGACATTTACACCTGGCACATCAGAGGGAAGGGATCTTTACAAGCATCTCTTGCCAGATCACACTAGACCTTCACCGGTTTCTCGAGCCCTTCTTCTTGTACCCCAGATTCCTTCAACGTCTACCCCTGGTTTTCCTGAGACTGTCCCTTGGGGAAGGCCGTGTGCTGCATTTGCAGCCTAATCTTTCAAGAGTTTATTTTTGTAGGCTGGGTATAAAGGAAAGATAGCCGCCTCCTACAATTCAGTGAACTATTTGGTGCTGTTACCTGAAGATGGTCGATGTATTGGATCATTGGTAGGTACATATGTAGTTCCAAAAATGATGCTCGGATTTTTTTTAAAGAGGTCCTAAGGATCATACAGAGAGGGTGTTCAGGAGTTGTGCAGTTTAAAAGGTTTTTTTTTGTGTCATAATGAGCAGTTTCTCTTGGTGGGTACTTGAGATATGTTCGTCACTACGCTCTTCATACCCAAGACTACAGAACTAGACAACAGTTGTGTCTTGGTAGGGTTAAAAAAATAATAATAAATATATAAATTAGACATCAGGGAGCTGCACTACCCACTTTTAATGATGAAAGTCAATATGGCTTAAGTCAATAAGAGATAAAAGTCAACATGAAAAAGTATTCTAAAGACATCATACTAAAATCACGCCAAATAAAATAATGAATAAAAAAGAAATCAGAAATACCCTAGGATTTTAGTTTATCAAGGCAAGAAGGCACTTCACATAACACCAAGACAGATATAAATTTGCTACACAATGCTTGTTAAGCAATAAATCTCTTAACATTCATAGGATGTGATAATGTGTTACAAACTAAACTGTTTACTTCACTATCTGTACATGAAGATTAATTACCATTTGGGTATGTTTACAAATTCATCATATACTGGTACAGTATACTGGTACAATACTTACAATAAAAGGATGTGTTGTGGTGGTGTAGTTCATGTTGGTCTTAACTGGGAAGCGATAAATGTAGTGCGTGAAAACATCCTTCACACAACGCACAAGGTATGGGTCTTGGGTCAAGCCCAAGCATCCCATCCCACACACCATCTAAAAGATACAATATATCTTTCAGGAACTTCTCGAACATACAGTACTTTATTTATATTGTTACACATTTTACCATTTGAGGATGGTACTTGTACATACTTGCATATGTGAAAACATTAAAAGCACAACAGTTCAATTTCTGTACTTACATGTATCTACCTCTTTCCACCGCAGTTTAACTCTTAAATTTTTAACCATTTTGCACAGATATGATTTGAACTATCTACAGCTCGCTTCAAAACATAAGAACAAAAGGAAACTGTACAAGACCTATTGGCCCATGCAAGACACCTCTTACCCACCCAAACTCATTCATATATTTGTCTAATTTTTGCTTTAAGCATTCAAGCAATCCCATCTCTATTATGTTACCTGGTAATTTGTTCCAAAGATCAACAACCCTTTTTCCAAACTAATATTTACCCAGGTCATTTCAGATATTAAACTTGTCCAATTTTTATACATTGCTCTGGGGTATATTTTGTGTTGGTATATTCAACACCTTATTGCTGTCAATTTTGTTATACCTTTTCATCCATTTATATACTGTACTTCAGTCATGTCATCCCTTACTATTTACTTTTCTATTGAATGTAAATTAAGTTTCTTAATCTCTTATCACATGAGAAGTTTCTAATTCCTGGGATTAATTTTTTCATCCTTCTCTATACTATTAGTGAATTTTGGGGAGCTGGGTCCTCAGCCCAATACCCCGACTCCTGTAATGCAGGAGAAGCAAAGTTTTTTGCACCACATTTATCACTTTATAACTAGTATAGTACAGAAGTAAAAAATGTGATTTAAGGAGCACAAAATATACCGACTGCTAGGGCATAAAACAAGAAATCCCCCCCCCCCCTTTTCCTACTATTGAATAACCTAATGCAGAAATTTATATACTTAAATAATATAGAATATGCATTTTTTGTTTACATTTTCAAACAGGTACTGTATTTAACTAAATGACACTAATATAAATACACTGGTTTTATTTTCACCCACTACTGTCTTGTAAAACTAAATATTGTAAATCAAACTCCTAAAATATTTATTCAAATCTAAAATTTAAATATATCAGGGAGATCATGACAGTACAAAAACTTTGTTAATCTGTATAATTTCTGAGTTTTCTGAACTGTAATTTCTACATAAATATCAAAGTACTGTACTGTAGCATGAAAAAAGGTGAACCAAAATACCTTTGGTAAAGTATTTGCCAGGGCCCCAGTCAGATGTGAGTTAAGAGGCTTCTCTGAAGAGTACACAGCAGTTGGCAGAAGAACTGTACTGATGAGACTTGGCATGGGACAAGTGGGCTTGGACTGCAACAGAAAGGAAATTACAGATATGATAAGTATGATAACGTATGAGAAAACGATGAGAAAGGGCGGTCGCTAACTCCCCAAAACACCTCGCTGGCCGAGCCAGGGGTGGGGTACTCTCCCAAGCCAATACAACGGGTTCCTTGTTAAGTACTGCCATGTCAGCGGATTAAAGCTAGTCAACACCTCCCTCGTACCATCTCCCTCCTCACGCACACACGCATACACACACACCCACCCACAATTACAACTCACAATTATGCATGAAAGAATGCAAAATACTGCACTGTTACAAAAGAAGTAATTACAAATGAGTGTAGCGAGAACTGTGTAACATTAATAACTTAGAATGTATAAAGGAAGCTACATGAAAGAACATGTGGTTCAATCACATGAGGGCAATGGAAAATGGCATCCCGGACATATTTTGTAATATAAATGGTGGTTAAAGGAGTACAGTATATAGGGAGACAGGATCAGGCATCACTAATGATAAGTTTGATTAGTATGACTGTTGCTGGTATCACAGTCTGGCTGATTAGGTACTGTATTCCCAATAGGCACTCGTCTAATTAACTTTTGGAAACAAACTTTTTCTGCAGTATTTCTTGCATTTCTTGATAGGGAACTTTGAATCTGTCCCAGCAGTTTGTGCATTTTACTGCATCTACAGTATGTGTGCATTATAGGATCTTAATAACCCCTATATTTTGCGTATCTCACTTTCACTGAAAAGTACGAAGCAGAACTCCAAGCAAGATAGCTTAAGTAATAAGAGTGGGAAAAAACAATTTTCCCAACCTTAAGGCAAAAGCCAACCAACAAAGGGATTAACCCTAAGGGTGGATAAAATGAACCAAGATCCTCACTAAGACATCTCTGAAATCCTGACCCCCTCTCCAGACACCAGAAAAAGAAAGCCCAGGGACACTGAGCCATCCATCAAACCAGAGCCTAATAGGAGGAATAGGACCACCCACAGAGGCTTCCGGCACCCTAAACAACTGAATTCAATCCATACCAAATAGAAGAGAGGCAGAACTGCAAAAAAAAAAAAAGTAGGAATTCAACAACTGACACAAAAGCAGGTGAACACACTACACCACATGAAAACAACTGCTTGAGACAAAGTCGCCTGCAGCGAAAGGTCTAAGCTCTACAAATGCTGTCACCCAAGATATAAGCTCAGCCAAAATCAAAGACCAGTAATATAACACTTTGCACACTCGAGTGAAAAAAACCACATGGTACCCATCAGTCAAACACAATGGATCACTCGGCAAATCCACACATGGCACAAGCTGGCTCCGAGCAAGGGTGGCTCTGACCAGAGGGGAAAAACCACCAAAACTACAGCAGAGACAGAAGACAAACATATAATAGATATGGAAGAAAAAAAGTCTTGGTACACAAGAATAGAAATGCATACCTGTAGAACTAAGAATGGAAAGAATCAGGTGGCGACATTACCAAACCCCCATGTAAGACTCCAAATTTCCACTTTCTGATAGTTACATATAAGCATCAGTTTGAACACATTCTTAAGTGGGCTTATGGTTATTAGTATGGCCATTGAGCTTGACTAAAATATGCATACAAATTATAGAGAATAATGAGTTAACATATGAATGACCAGACTGATGGTCATTGCCATGGCACTGCCATGGTATGCACAAGCACTGCCATGGTATGGCAACAATGATTGCAATGCATGTAAAAAATTTGTTATTTCATACAGTACAGTACTTACCTTGATATAAATAATAGAATGTGCATTAAGGAAAAGAGCAGCAACAATTTCTAAGACCTGTGCAAGGTGACTCGGTAGTGGAACTTTCTTCAGCAGGATTCCTAAGGCTTTGTCAAGACCACAAAAATACTGTAGTGCCACATCTCTGTATGCTAAGCGTGTTGTGAAATTCTGTTGAAGATATGTAGTGTGAGAGTTTACACAATGCAGTTTAAATATGCCTACAACATAACCAATCAACCTCCTATAACCTCTCGAGATATTGCAAAGGTTGAACAAAGAACTGTATTTGAATACTGTGCCACATTTTTGTACATCTTTCTCTCTCTCTAAACACTAACACAGAATTGGTCAGTTCTACAGCTTGGGAAGCTACTGAGGGAGCTCTTCCAGAAATGTAATGTTCATCTTTCAATCTTTCAAGGCTTTTTCTACAAGCTAACTTTATGCAAATAACTTAGCTACACACCCTCTCCCATTATGGAACTCGTCTTGTTCATCACTGACAAATTTCTCTGTAATTTTCAATGCTCTAAATTATAGCTATCTTGCCATACACTTTGTATACAAAGTGACTATAATAACTAATATTACAGTTGCTACATTCTCCTTTATCGTTATAAAGTGATCAATCACTGTTCTTTTCCAATCCTTTGGCACATCTTTCCAGAAGAGCTTCATGCTTCCTGAATAACATTTTTCATTATACCCCCCATTAACCTTATTTTATTTGGTTTAACTAATCTTAATATTCCCTTTACTCTCATCGTTTTTCAATTTGACATATCCCCCCCCACACTCATTCACTGTGTCCACAAAATCTACTTTTTCTTATCACTCATATCTCTTGCCACCTCATTCCACCAAGCAGTTCCTCTAAATCTTCTACCAGTTTGTGCAAGCCAACCTGGCATTCTAAACCAATCATTTCCAGTACGTTTCCCCATGAGACACTAAAGCTTCATATACTTTCTTCAAGATCACTACCAGCTATTCCTTTGTACTCTAATACCAGTTCTCTCTTATTCAAGTTCTCAACTTTTATTTATTTGCCTCTTGGATACTTGTGAGGTACAATCACCCTTGCACCACTTAATCTTATCTTTCACACCACCTACATGTTATCAGACATATAAGCCTTTGCAGAATATATAAATTTCTCCCTATGCCTATTACGTGTGAGTTATCTTATTAATACTACACTTTATCAATCATATGATCATATACTCCATACAGTATTTACATCACTTTTGGTACCTAATCCTTGTGTTAATAATATGAAAATTTTTAATTACTTGTGCTTCTGAATGTTTCTTCGAAACTCCTTGTATCAGAGACTTGGCAGCTGCAAAAGGACAAGTAGGCGGCTGGTGAGAAAGAACTGCTGCTATGCTTGGCAAGCTCATGATCATGGGAGTAACTGCTATTACTTCTTCACAGTCTCCTAGCATGATGAGAGATGACAACCATCCTGAGATTAAAAGGCCCTCATATGCTGAACATACGCTGCCCATCATAGACACACTGCCTGGCCTTTCGAAGAGGGATGCTATGTACTGCAATGTGCATCTGTTTTAAGAAAAATATAGATTGTAATTATAATAAATTGACACTGATCAAACAATTACAAGCTGGTCATTTAAAACGACACAGAAAAGAAATAATGTAAATTATACACGACAAAAGCAATACTGTACTTATCATTGTTTATGGTGCAAATTTACAAAATGGAAGAAGCTAAAATGCTTCAAATTAACTTACATTGGGTTCACAGACTCATTTGTTATAAAATATGTAAAGAGTCCTAAAGCTGCTTCTCTCAATCCAGAGGAAGGTCTGTTACGTTCCTGACCCATGCAGAAGGTAAGTGAAGCGGCAACTGAAGCAAGAGCTGCTGGTGGCGTCAGAGTGCCAGCATGAGCTTTGATGAATGCTCCAAATTCTTTCCAAATTGCTTCAATAACTTCAGAACCAATTCCTTCTGAAGTAGTAATAATAATAATAATTACAGAACCTAGTACAGTACTAATATAAATACAGTACTACAGTATTCAGTTGTTCCTTTAAACCAGCAGTCTGCATTGGTTCACAGGCTCTAATAACTTGTTCATACAACATCAATAACTTTTCAAATTAACTGGTCACAAAAGAATGGACAGGCAACAAATTTGAGTTATCATTTTGCTAACTATTGGCTGGGTAATCAGCCAGTATCCTGTCATCAGATTTTGGTGGCAAGAGGTATGCTTACTTACCACTGACTACTGGGGAGTTCAAGTTCAAGTATGTTTATCGAGATAAGAAACAAAAACATCTCAAAGGGATAGAGTAGCTTAAGCTATTTCTACCCCCCTGTACTGGGGAGAGTAATCAAACTCAGTATGCACTATTGCATAGCCTTTTACACCCGCTACATTTATTACATCTCTTGATGTTCAAGTTGTCTTATTTTCCCTTGAAGTTGTGCTTCTTCCCTTGAAGAAGGGCCCGGGTACAGGCCCAGAAAGGGCCCGGGTACAGGCCCAGAAGGGGCCCGGGTACAGGCCCAGAAGGGGCCCGGGTACAGGCCCAGAAGGGGCCCGGGTACAGGCCCAGAAGGGGCCCGGGTACAGGCCCAGAAGGGGCCCGGGTACAGGCCCAGAAGGGGCCCGGGTACAGGCCCAGAAGGGGCCCGGGTACAGGCCCAGAAGGGGCCCGGGTACAGGCCCAGAAGGGGCCCGGGTACAGGCCCAGAAGGGGCCCGGGTACAGGCCCAGAAGGGGCCCGGGTACAGGCCCAGAAGGGGCCCGGGTACAGGCCCAGAAGGGGCCCGGGTACAGGCCCAGAAGGGGCCCGGGTACAGGCCCAGAAGGGGCCCGGGTACAGGCCCAGAAGGGGCCCGGGTACAGGCCCAGAAGGGGCCCGGGTACAGGCCCAGAAAGAGCCCGGGTACAGGCCCAGAAAGGGCCCGGGTACAGGCCCAGAAAGGGCCCGGGTACAGGCCCAGAAAGGGCCCGGGTACAGGCCCAGAAGGGGCCCGGGTACAGGCCCAGAAAGGGCCCGGGTACAGGCCCAGAAAGGGCCCGGGTACAGGCCCCGAAAGGGCCCGGGTACAGGCCCAGAAAGGGCCCGGGTACAGGCCCAGAAAGGGCCCGGGTACAGGCCCAGAAAGGGCCCGGGTACAGGCCCAGAAAGGGCCCGGGTACAGGCCCAGAAAGGGCCCGGGTACAGGCCCAGAAAGGGCCCGGGTACAGGCCCAGAAGGGGCCCGGGTACAGGCCCAGAAGGGGCCCGGGTACAGGCCCAGAAGGGGCCCGGGTACAGGCCCAGAAAGGGCCCGGGTACAGGCCCAGAAAGGGCCCGGGTACAGGCCCAGAAGGGGCCCGGGTACAGGCCCAGAAGGGGCCCGGGTACAGGCCCAGCCCAGAAGGGGCCCGGGTACAGGCCCAGAAGGGGCCCGGGTACAGGCCCAGAAGGGGCCCGGGTACAGGCCCAGAAGGGGCCCGGGTACAGGCCCAGAAGGGGCCCGGGTACAGGCCCAGAAGGGGCCCGGGTACAGGCCCAGAAGGGGCCCGGGTACAGGCCCAGAAAGGGCCCGGGTACAGGCCCAGAAAGGGCCCGGGTACAGGCCCAGAAAGGGCCCGGGTACAGGCCGAGAAGGGGCCCGGGTACAGGCCCGGGCCCTTTCCGCGCCTGTACCTAGGGAAGGGAACCCTAGGCGCATTCAGCCTGAGTACTGGAGAATCACTCCCGGCTCACGCACCACCTAGAAAACAGACACCACACTCTAGGTACAGTGCTGAAAAAACCACTGGAGCCGGAGCACATAACCGGTGCCTATAACTATTGCATATCCAGCTTCCACCAACTTTGTTTAGTCCTGCCTCTTCTCAATTGAAATAGGTAGTCCAAGGAGTCCACCTTGTGTATTGTACTTCCTTTATGTTTTATGTTATGAATAATTTACATCACTCTTTCTTCTCTCACTAATATTGTGACACTGAATTCCCTTAACCTGTTGTCATACATGGGGCCCCTCACAATTCTGGTACTAGTTACAAACCTGTGTACTTCTTCAAGTTTCTTTTCAGGTGGTATAGATGTAGTGGAATAAATTGCAATTACAGCAGCCACTTTCAAACTTGAATTTCATACACAAATACCTTAATTTTAACATGAAGTAATTCATCATGCCCATACCATTCCTAACTCTTTGACAGACACATACCTCCTTTCCATTCCTCATTTTATCTCACTAAGACTCTTAGTAATCTACACTTCCTTCTGCTCTTCATATTACTTCTTGGTTTTGTTTCACAAACATTCAACACATCACACTTTCTCTACCTGAAAACTGTGATACTTTCCAGTATCTTTTGGTCTTCTTTTATTATCCTCACATTCTACACTGCCATATTGAACCTACTTTTATTTCATAGGACCTGAACAGGCTCAGGCTGATTATACCCTTTGTGGGAAGAAGCTTGATAACATGTGTTCCCAGTCTAACTTCTCCCTTTTCCCAGTTTTATTATAGGTGAAGGCACCACACAAATCATCAATATTTGCTTTTCTGCTTCAATAAACAAAAAATGATCCTTTCTGTTAAGGACTAATACTGATGGGGTACACAGATTGACTTATATCAGGGTGCTAACACTTGATCATTCTCAAAGTTTATAGTATACACTAAAGCTACAGTTCAATAAGCCCACAATTTTACTAGTAGCAGACAACAAAGACAAAATCATTTTAATAAGGTCAGTTTAAAAGGTAATTTTTATATTTACCTGCCATGTATGGAGTCTGGGAAGAAATATCAAGAACTTTACTGAGGGCTGCATTTATCGCACTAAGAATAGCTTTTGTTTCAACAATGCCGACATGCTGGAGGACAGTACTCAACCCACCACCTGCAAATGCACAAGAATAATGACAATTTGGAGTGCTTTACAGTAGAAGACTTACGAACCCAGTTCAATACAAGAATTATTTAAAAATAGGTATTAAGTAAGTGGAATGAGATAAGATGAGATACACCATTTTCGGATTAAGGAAGAAGGGCAATAACACAGCTGTCGAGCATAGGGAATGTGCCAACAAATGAGCAAGGACGGTAGCATGTCACAAATCATGCATATTGTCACTGGCTCCTCATAAGGTGCCTGAACAAATGTGGCCTACTGGGTAAAACCTCACTACCCTGACTAAAGCATGTAGTTGTTTACCTCATGTTAGTTACTATTAAAATGTTCACTTTTCTTACTGATCAGCTCACTCGTAAATAATTTATCAGAGCAATCTGTTGTATTGCAAACACACCTACTGTAATATAACAACTATATCAAAATATACAGTACTGTATTGTTTAGCACTGACAAGGCAACAGATTCTCAGGAAAAGGTATAAGTACTGTACAATAATTACTTTACAGAATTTATATTACATTTTTTGTATTTACTTTATTTATATCAATATACAGTATCCATTATTGCATGTTTATTATCTTTTGTTACTAAAAATACATTTTTAATGTCAAAGACTGATGAATAGCAATAACTGCAAAATAACTTCTGAATGTATTTAACCTCTGTACTCCAAATTGGGTCCTGTCCCAATTACAACAGTTTGAAAAACAAGCAGGTACTGTACTGTTCTGTATATTGCCTTTCTGAACAGTGCTACAACTCTTGGATCATCTTGATTTCAGTATGTTGAAGTTTAAACAAAACTGTCCCATTGATAAGCTTAGTAATGATAACAGCTGAATAGTGTCTGAATTGCAAACTATAACTTACATATAAGGGAATGTTGTGCCAATGTTAGATCATGGCTCTGGTCAAACACCTCCTGCACTCCTTCTGCATATATAGTGATCAACTGTCCCAAGTCTCTAAAATAAAAATATAATAATAAGTTAATTATTCCTCCATGCAAGAAATGTTATATTCAAACATTTCAAACATAAGTTAATTATTCCTCCATGCAAGAAATGTTATATTCAAACATTTCAAACACAAGACTTCAAGAGTAAATTAGCATATTGGACAAGAAAGATTCAACCTTAAACGTTAGGAAGAGTATAAACCACAATAACATGAATGAAACTAAACATCCCAACCCAAACATGAAAAATAAGAGGGGAAAGTGATGACATTTTATGTTAGCATTAGGTTTTCAATTAATCTTTTAAGTTAGACATATGTGGTAAAGCCTGTTTGAATGCCTCATTGAAAATGTTGAATAGTCAGTGCCTTAGTAACAGATTACTGCAGTTTTGAATGAAACAGATTACACGTAATGTTAAAGTGAAGCAGGATTCCAACCTTCTGTGGATGGCATCCCTTGATGTTATGTACTCATGGCAGGCAGCGGCTATAATAGGGCTGAACTTGTGAACCACTGGAGATATGTCACATCCAGAGCCCATCAGCAGCATGATGGTGGCCATGAACCCTCGCCACACAACTCGTGCCTTACTCACACTACATGTTGAAACCATAGATAACAGTTCAGCCAGTTTGTTGCTCTGAAACAGAGAATTAGTCAATAATAAAGTTATTAACAATAGCATAACACATCATAAAATTATGATAAACATAAACACATTTACCAACATTAACTTATTACATATCAATAATATTAAGAAACATTATTTACTACAGTATATTCAGAGCCAAATCTTATAAATATAAATAAAAACGAGAAAATTACTTATAAAACATTTGTAAGGATCAATATTTCAACCTTTTCAGTACAGTATAAAGCTACAGGTTTCTCACCAGCCCTAATTAGCCCATAAATGCCAGTGTACTTCTGTTTTTCACAAACGTGTTGTTATTTCTTTTAGAGAGCATTTCTGAGTACTCTATTAGTTATATATATAAAAAAAAAAAAATTGCAGATGGAGTACCTACTATTTTGGGATGTATATTTAGGCTTAGAATCCTAGTTGAGTATTAGACTAGGCTTTGGTTTGCTCAGCTGTCTACATTGGGGCCTCATTTATTTGGACCCACTTAGACAGATTCCCACTTACTTGGAAAACATATAATCTGCCCACATAAATGATGTACAGTACCCAGATAATATTAATTTCAGATAGATAGTAAATACTAAGCTTTTCATATGACTGGATCATCATTCCACTCTCTACCATCTTTCAATCCTTCTCTCTTTTTACATAATATGAATTACCAGCCCTCAATTCTATTTTTTATATAACCTGAATAATTAGTGGTCAAAAACTCTGGCTATGGATATTTACAAAACATATCCATTCAACATTACTGTATTTATCTTTTAACCAAAAATTCACATAAAGTATTTAATACTGTTGCCTTATTTTTTAAATAAATATAAGTAACAAAACTGAAAGCAGGGTAAGGCATGATGTAATTACCACATCAACAAGATCCGTTGTATTGGCAAGGGTCAGGAAAAGAGTTGTGGAGTTATAGAGCCCCATCGGTGAGAGCTCTGTCATTCTGCGCCCATGGAACTTAGAGTAGATGCGACCCCTCATCTGCCGCCATTCTGCTGAACTGGTTTCTACCACTCCAACTAAAATGTTAAAACAATAACATACAGTATCTCAAAACATTTGTGTCTAAATGATACATAACCTATTAGGTAATTTCTAATCTACATAACTTTAAAATATGTAAACATAAAATATCTATTATTGTTAAACAAAAATCCCATCTCTGCAACACATTATTCTTCCCAGTGCCCGTCTACGTTCACTTCCAGGTACCCTTTTCACAGTCTCTGGACCATTAAGTCCAACAATTAGCACAATATTCACAAAGTGCTTATGTTGCCTGAAACGCTATGCGTGTTAGTGGCGTTACAAGAATGTAAAAACATCAATGCTATGTGCTCTCATAAACCTGATGTACCTTCTTGTATATATATTTAAATAAAGTACTGTAATATTAAACTGCCGTGTGTGGAATATGAACTGTGTATTCTTGATTTGTCATATCTGAGAAAAAGAACAGAATTTACCACAAAATAGTAAAAAGCAGACATTGAGTAAGAGTAAAAGCTTTTTCTGAGGGCCACTTTTGTGTTTTATGTTGCATGGTGTTTGTGTGAAGGTTCTTCTCCCAATGACTGCCTTAGCAGTACTGTGGGGAAGCATGTCCTTGTTGATGGTTATGTAGGACTTAAGGTTGGGTTGAATAATAAGTTGCTGGTTAGACTGATGTTCTGGGCCTAGAGCTGGAACAATCAGACCATTCAGTGCTAAGTACTAGTACTGTACTTTAGTAGGGTACAAATGGAAATTGGTAGTGATTTTATAGATGGTATAATATTGGTGTTCTTTAGAAAAGTAAATAATTGAGCTAAGTTTACTTCATCATTTAGAACTTCAATAGATGTACAGTATCCTGAAAGCTGCACACCATCCTTACATATGCAACCCTTCAGCAGTGTTCCATGGGATGCTCCATGAAGAGAAAAGGATGTGAGTGGAAGAGTGAGTGACATGTTTAACACTATGGAGCTGGAGAACGTGAAAGCATGTAGCTCTGGGTCACAGCCATACAACCAATTCTCAACCTAGAGAGCATTTTAATGTGGTATTGATTAATCAGGGAGCAAATGCCCACATGAAAAAAGGTATAATTTTCATAATATATTATTTGTAAGCAGATTCCATTGACACTCCCAAGTGCATCTGACGTTCTAAGCTGTGGGTCTTTTCAAGTCGTTGCAAGGGTTTCTTGGTGTTAGGCCTAATCAGAAAACTTGGCAATAAGAGATGGATACTGCATTGATGCCTTTTGTTAATCACTACTACTGTTGTGAATGTGTATTTTCTATGATTGATTGAATATGAAATTTCAGCCCCAAGTTGATTTAGAAATAGCCTAGCTTTCTGGTTGATTGCAGGTATTCAGCTAGTATTTTGACTACTTTTCGTTTTGTGCAAAGTGGGAGGTCTCCTCCCCTAATATGTGCTTAATACTGAAGAATACTTTGAGGGAGATTATGGAGTGGAAAGTGTTGCAGCATAAGAGCTTTATACAGTATTTTACTCAGAGCCTGAACTATTCCATTGAAATGGTTAGTGCAAACCTTGTATAAAAAGAATAGAGAAATAAAGTTTTAAAAACGTTCAAGAATGTTTCAGTAAAAATATCATGACAGATTACTAGTATCCAGATGTCACTTACCTACAATCCTAAGAAATATTTGCCATGAGGTTTCGGACTTCCCTATTACTGCTAAATCACATGATCGAGATTTGACTTGTTCCAGCCAACCACTGGCAGTTTTACTGTAAAATGGTTCCACATTCAATTACTTTGAGATTCTGTACACTCCCCTATCAAAATACAGAAATTATAATAGATATAGCTCTTACATTATATAACCGAGGACAATAGTTTAGAAATGGAAAAGAACATGAAATAACATAAGATAAAGAAAACTGCAGAAGGCCTATTGACCCATATGAGGCAGCTCCTATTTATATTCACTCAAACTCTGATGACACTGCCAAAAGGGGAAAAAGTATTCAGCTCATTTAATTTTTTGTGGTGTTTCTTGCATATACAATATGTCTAACCTACGCTTTTAACGATGTAGTAATCCCACATCTATCATGTTAAATGGTAATTTGTTCCATAAAGCAACAATGCTATTTCCAAACCAGAAATTAGAAAGGTAGAAAGGATGAACTTCAAGCTTGTGATCTCATTCATATTATAAAAAAGATTGCTTTCAGTTAGGCAGGAAGAGACGCACCAGCACCATATTGACCTCATATTACTCACCTCCCAGTGAGATCATATAAAGGTGTTAGGGAGTCACTGAAGACAGCTTCCATCCAGCCAAGAAATAATAAACTCAAACTCTTAACCCAAGCTACAGTCCCTGTGATGTCATATGAGCACTTGCTAATGACAAACTCTGAACCACCTAATGACCAATCCTAGTAGGTACACACTTCCTCTTATCGCCACAAAGCTATGCCTTCAACTAGCCAGTGATTCAAGAAGCCAAATTTAACGATGGGTTGTCTTGACAGTGTTAAGTTAGGAATTGAATCAAGATTGATCAGTTAGATGTTTCATGTCTCTCTGATGTGATATAAGCTTTGTGTGACACCAATCTAATGTAACTAACCCCCCTATGTATTAGCAAGTAAGTTTATGAATAAACTATCTTAGTTGTTACTCTTATGTGTTTCTGGGAACCAAACTTCTAAGAGATTGCCACTTGCTTCCTTGTGTCCAGCACCATACAAGCCATTATCATGCAAATGAAATAAAATGTAATGCGAACCCTAGAAACGCCTTGTAGTAAATTGTAATTAAGGACTTTCATAACAAAAATGATTCAATGCACTGAACACCTTTCTAAAATGGACTACTTGATCTAGGACCTCCTCCACTAGAAGGTCCTATCCAGCTAATGTACCCAGATTTTGTATAATTGCTCTTGGTAGTTACTGGATCTCGACAGCTTGAGTGAACCATTTGAGATATGCAGCGCAGTGACATTGCTTACAATTGTAATCAGGAGAAAGTAATAACTCACACATATTACATAGTAGTTTGTTTTGGAGTCTATTTACTTAAATATATTGTCTATAAGTTAAAGATTCACAAGAATTAGATATGAATCTAGAGTACTTCTAACGTTTAATCACATACTTTATTATAAAAAATGATGTATACACAATTCAGTTCAAAACTGAATTGTAATCAGTTTTGGTAAAGATAAGCAAAACCAAGGTTTTGCTTATCTTTACCTATCCTTGTACATGTGCCTTCATTCGTTTTAATCTCCTTTAACGTGCATTCTTCCCTACTCTCAGTGCCTGTGGTAAAAATTTAACCTATTACTTTGGAGTTTGTTAACAAAGAATACTAACTAACCTGACACATGCAAGACCATCCAAGCCTGCACCAGGAAGGAGAAATGAAGAATCAAGATGTTTGGAGAAGTAATCCCACAAAGCTACAGCCCACTCGCTACTCCTTTCCCCACCCCACAGCTGTCTTAGGCTCAAACAACATCGCACAAAAAATCGCAGCTCTGCTTCTGTTGGTTGGTATCCACTTCTGGGCTCACTTAGGGAAATCTTTACAAGAGTTCGTAATAATTTGGTTTCACTTTTGATTTCGATCTGTAAAGGAAAATAGTGATACCTATAAATAGAATTTTCCAATTAACAGGAATGCTGTATTAGGAATTTTAAGTACAGTACTTGAGTAGTTTAATATATAAGAAACTATATCAAAAAGGGAAAATATGATGTCAACTTACTGATTTTGTCATTATTTTCTTCCCGGTCACATCAAATCCATAAAGTTTAGAAAAGTTACAGAAGATCCACCATATATGAGGAAGCTGCACCCTCTTAACGATGGTGGCAGGATACTGAATGACTTGGTAGCTTTGATCTAAGGATAACATTGAGGAAGCTGAAGGTGATGAGTTACTGGAGGATGATCGTGCATCTTGAGAGAAAGAATCACTGTAGATTTTAAGTAGGCCAAGCAGTTTATACTTTATTTTCTCCCAGAAACTCTGAAATTAACAAAAGTAATGAGTCAGTGCTAAATATGAAATACAGTATTCTCTTTCACCGCATAAATCTTTAGATCTACAGCCACTCATTTATTCCTAGGATCACTAGAATAAAAATATTTCTCATTTTTTATACACGAAGCATATGAATAAGTTTGGCTTCTGAAACAAAGGATTCCAATAACATTGAACTAGGTTTTTATGCAAATAATTATCTTCTCATTTTGAGGATTTCTAAACAGTAATGCACTAGAATAAAATAAATACACCAACCTTAGATACGGTGCATTACCTGTCTGCCCAGCTGCGTGTGCCTACAGTCCAGGAGGTGGAGCGTCATGAGTCCGAGTTCATGTGAACACGTACACGAGAACCCTGCCACTTGATGCAGCTCGCTCACACTCTTCTGAAAGTACATCACTCATTCATGAGGAACAAATTTAATGAATCAATGAATTTAATTCACAATCTACTGATCAATCTTCTTTGACTCCTCAGTTAAATATGAGAAGCAGGGTATAAAATATTATCAACCAATACAAAGCTAAGTTTCTTTCACGTGTTTCCTTTATAAAAAAAAGTACAGTATATAAATATTTTAAGAAAAATCTACGAAGGTATAAAAATAAAGCTTTGAGCGAGTGTCAAAAGTAGTTCCCTGAGCAGTGCAACTTGTTTTCTATGATAAAAGCTGCTACGTAAATTGACCATTATCATGCATCTGGAGGTGAGCCTAGATAGTAGTTCATGGCAAGAAATTATCCTATATTAATCATGAATGCCAATTCATTACAATAAAATCAAATCTATGGCCTTGTAGCTATATCTATCACACCAACCTTGCACCCTTCCCGAAACATGATGGTGACAAGGTCCCACACTACCAACGATATACACTGTTCCAGGGGCGACTGCTCATTAACTTCTGAAGCACCTCCTCCTTGGATCCCTTGAGGCTCAGATACCAAAAGGAAGGGGGAGTCTGTGGAGTGGGAGTCCCAGTGTGGAAGAGTTCCTAGGGTTGACTCGACGAGGTGCAGCAGAGCAAGACTCCACCACCGTACATCTAGATGAAGGTGGAGCAAGTGGTAAGCAGCAGAAGGGCACTGCAATATAAATTAAAGCATAACTTATCTACAACTAACAAAAATTAAAGCATACCATCTACAACGACAAGAATAAAGTTTATACACAATAATTAATACTGTATTTACATACATGGTTCTAGTCCCTGATACTGGGAAATCAAATAAAAAATTATTTAAAAATGTCAAAACTTTCTCTCCCTCTTTGCAAACTTCTGCCACTCCTCATACAGTGTTCACACTTATTCCCCACTTCCTTACACTAACATTTGTTAACAACTCGTTAAAACTTGTATTTAAGGAAATCTGGGAAAACATTTAGTTCTAAGCAAACCACTTCACTCAGAATTAAACAAGCCATAAAATATTTTCAAATTAATTTACGGGTTGCTATGAAATATAATGGTAACCTGATCTAATAAATATTTAAGGCAATATGGTCTCAACCATTTTCAGAATAATATTTTTGGTCCTCCCTTAACACTATATCCAGAGACACTACAGGAATAAACACTCAAAGGCCACATTACAAACTAAAATGAATCAGGGTCTTGGGCCTGTCCTGGCCAAATGAACCCATCATTTATGACCTGAAGTGATCACCATGCAAACTATGATGCCTCTTTCTCCTGGTGATGCCTCCCTGCTGCTCACTCTCACAACCTTATCTCAAAATAAAATCACACTGGTTGCTCTAGGATCGTTTTCCAGGTAAGTTGTGTCTGGAAAGCCTGTGGTCGTTTGTACATGTTCCGAAATCACAGAAAAGTACACTTTTTATATAGAAATAAAGCTGTTGAATTCTTTGTATTTACTGTCATAGCAAATCTTGCTTTCCTGTATTTTAGTCATTTAACCAAACAGTCTAGGTACAACTGAATCATAAGTCTTGTATTGCATCTGTTCAGTACAGTACTTCCATGAAACCAAGTTCCATCCAAGTAAGATATCTGTCACATAATTCCCCCAGCATAGCAGAGAAAACTGCCTTTTCCATCTTACCAGTTCCTTGTTACGTCTAAATAACCACTAGTTATGCCGCCGGCTACTCATTACAAGCCTCGGTACCAAAGGATGTGACGTCACCATCAGGGGTATAAATACCCATGACCTTGGTCACCTTAGCAGTGTCTCTCAGGTGCTCAGGAAATCAACATTATGGCCTCCACAAGACGCTTGCCTACAGTGGCTTCATGTGCAGGTTGTAATAAATGTAAATACTTTCAGTGTCACCTTTAGTTTTGTGTTAATGTAAATGTGTATATGTATTTGTGTTATTATTATTGCTTTTGTGTGTTAGCCAAGTATGTCCAATCAGGAGCTTTTGGTATTTTTCATATGTTATTTGTTCATTCTGATATAAGAGTAAATTGTCATAATTTTTCGACTGAGTATTCCTTCACTCCTGTGTAATTTTCACACTGCCAAGAATAATGTGACATTTATTTTACTTAATGAGAAGTGCGTGTCACATTCCATCTGCTCAGTATAGCCGCACTACTGAGTCACGTCACATATCACTATACAGTACAGTATTTAAAAATATATATCTAATATTAAAATATAGGTAAACGAACCTTATTTCCCTGTGGTGAACCAGCAGATGTCACATGCTCTTGTAATTCATGTAATGGACCCAAGTAAAGTAAAGTTTCCATTACTTCTGCAACTACAGATTTCAGAAACTCTTCATTTCCCTCGCATGTTAGGCTATGTACATATGACACGAGACAGTTTAAGAAGGCCACATTATCCTGTCGGATCTTTGGATACTGTACATCATGGCAACTCTGACTTATGCATAAAGCTGACTGGGCTCCTTTCTCCAGTTCTATTACACCTTGCCTGAAACAAGTAATAATGTTTAGAAATTACACAAGTATTGTAATTACTATTCAAGAAATAGAAATGATAATAACTTTATACATTAATGTATAAGAGTGAAAACATAAAATGCTTTGAGTAAATATGAAAAACATCTTTCTCACTAGATGATTCAACTGGTCCATGACATTAGATCCTACTCTGTCCTTAGACAGGATCAAGTGCAGTCAGACTGGACGACATACTGTATTGCCGCCATCACCGCAGTGACTCTTCAAATATCTACTACAGTTATAATAGATGTTAGACATGCTCTGGCGAACAATCTGATCAAGTTCAGAATGACTGACACATCAATTTATAAAAACACCCTTCTGAACCCTGCCTGGATCCCCACATAAACCAGCACCAGGTGAAAGCACCATGCATACCTCTTGGTTCCCTGACCCCAAAGCCACCCTTACACACTACTTGATGCTATTAACTATATCTGTGTACAGGGAGCATGGAGCTAGAAGGGAAGGATCAGAAGCAACTAATTGATCTGCTCAGGAGTGCTTTTGAAGTCACTCGAAACCTAAGCTATTATATTTGGATGCTCCCTTAAGAATACGAAATGGAACCAAGAAACTAAATGATGCAGGAAAATTCACATGCTGCAGAGCAGTGCCCAAGTGATGCTGCAAGTACAAGGGCACCAGCATATCAGCCACCAGGGAAGGAGCTCAGCATCCCGTTAATCTGCCCAATGCCAACCATTAACAGCCCAGGCAGGTAATTATAGAAAGGTAATGTCCTGCAAAATTGTTATTAAATGCTAGAAACTCAGAACTTTAATTTGCAAGAAAGACATGGTAATGAAGAATACCTTGCAAATGATTAATCTCTCTAAATCAAATACTAGTATGCTCTTGGATACACCTGAGGTTGACTCAACTTACTCAACCTATGCAAGAGCTATTAAAGTAGGCCATGTTACAAGGAAAACCTGACAAAGCTGTTTGAAAAGATCCCTATTAAGACGGCACAGAATGTCACCCTTACATGACTGTCACGATCCTGTCCTTAAAACACATCATGAAAAACCATTCATTGCCACATAAAAATCTTTATTCATTATCAAGCATACTCATTCTTTACTACTCTCATTCTCTCTCTTACTCATGCTCTTACATATCATAATATATTCCAAACTTTACTTTTACTTGTTCTTAGCTTCCTCTCACACAAACCTATCACATCAAACATTTCCTCCTTAAAACCTTGAAATACTGTACTTTCAACCTCTTTTGTCATTCATTCATTTATTCCCTTTGCATTTCACATATGATCAATACATACCTACTCCATAACATAATTTTCAAATCATCCTAACCAATGGACCACTACGATTCTTTAAGATCTATTGCCATACTTTTTGCTGTTAAGAAAAAAATAAAGGGTGTTGAACAAAGTGAAACACTCCTTTCTGAGCTGGTCCTTTGGATACTCCTAGCTGTAGACTCACATCATCCACCGGAATATTGTTGTCTTTGTCCCACAGTGCAGCAAGGATCTTTGTCTTGTCAGGAATAATAGGGAAGACAGTGGAGTAACTCAAACTACCAGCAAGGGACCAGAGGTTACTATGATAGAAAAGAACGGCACTGATATTACAGAGCCCTCAATTCATATCTGGCTTCTGCAATCTTATGCATCCTACTCGGAAACCAGGACCAGATTCGGCTTTCCTCAAAGAGGTGAAGGGAGCATGTGGGGATCAAAGATTTACCCAAAACTGAGAACTGCTTCCTAGAAAGTCACAAGCAAAGCAAAATAAATCGCCAATATGAAGATAAAAATCAACTTGAGAATACAAGGCAATATTTTAACTGATAGGCCTGGGTCACCCAGGGTCCATGTCAACAACCACCCTCACTTGCAAGCATAATATCACCCTTTTCACACATATCTTCTGGGAACATACAATATTGCTTCTAAAGGCATGTGTTCTGGAGTTTTGGGACATTAAGCCTGCAAGTGGGCAATGCTTTGAATTTAAACACTTTATTATTCAGTTTATATCAACCTCATGCATGGCCTGCTAATTCACTCCGGTTTTAGTTTCAGGGCAATCTTCCCTGGTGCCAGCTTGCATTTTTCATTTCCCATAAGACCTAACCTCTCTGAAGGGTTGAGGTTCCTCCTCTATTGGTTGGCTCCTTTTGAGCAGCCCAGTTTCTGGGTAGTGCTTGGGACTTTGTTTGCTAATGCAATGCCAGTTGAAAGGGATCAAAATTTAGTGTTTTTATACATTTAGTAGTATAGTAAAATTTAGTAGTTTTATACATGCTAGTGTGTGTGTTTTGTGCCCGACACTGACGTGTGTGTGTGTGTGTTGGTGCCATATGCCCATGGCGTAAATGAGGCCAATTCATGTTAAGTGATTATTTAACTTCTACATGAGGATGGTAGCAGACTGGTACCCCTGGGTGACCTGGGTTGCCACCTGGTGGCAGCCATGGGAGTCAGAGCAAGGGTTAATTACTTTTTGCCAACTATCATTTGCCTTGTTTCTTAAGTTCATTCTTTTCCTAGGAGCAGTGATTTGCTTTACTTTGCCTGTGACTTCCTGGGCAGCTCTACTTAGTTGTGGATCAATCTTTGACCCTGCATGCTCTCCTTGCTTTTTTTCTTCAAGAAACCTCATTCCTGTTCTCTAGGCCTTACATGCCTAGAGAACATACCAGTGGCCTAAGCTCCAGGGAGCTAGAGGGGGTTAGCACAGATAATACATTACTGTACAGTAGCTGTCTTACATACCTAAAAGCCCTAAAAAAATGACCAAGATTGAAGTGAAGGTTATCTGCTGTGCAGGGTAGGTTATATATAACTGGTGGAGGGAGTAGAGCAGTAGGACAAGGGTTTCTATACTGCAGGAGTGACGTCAATGCTTGTCGACCAATGCAGGACATTTCACTGAAATTATCTGTCCAGCGAACTTCACCCAAGCAGGAGAATAACATCGGGCCATCATTTGAAACTGTTAAAGATGCTAGAACACATAATGGTTAGTTCCATATTATTTTATGATGTCAAATTCACATAATAAAAATACAGTATCAGGTTAGAGTTAATTCACGTAATGTTACATGACTTAATTTCAAGCACTGGCTCAGTTACTCGGAATAGATTATTTCTAATTAAATATAATAAATTATTTCTCTCTGCTGTATACTAAAACATTTTAAAACTTTTTACAGCACGAATAATATCTGAAAAAGACAAGTAGGAATTAAGTTTTCCTTATATATTTTGTTAAAACTGTGGATGAAATCGGCTTCAACAACATCTTCCTTCAATGTACAGTATTCTACTTGCCAACCACCTATACCATGAGAATGTCTTTACATCTCTAGCTTCCACCAATGTCCTCTTGTCCTACCTCCTTTTAATTTAAATAGACTTTCTTTGTCCACATTGTCTATATCCCTAGGGATCTTGTATGTAATGATCATATACCCTCTATACATTCTCTTGTCTAAAGTTGTGCAGGTGAGTTCCCTCAACCTATCCTCATAGCTGAGCCCTCTCAATTCTGGTACTAATCTAACTGCAAACTTCTGAACTTTCTCAAGTTTCTTTTTGTGTTTTATGAGGTAGGGATTCCATTGCTGGTGCTGCATACTTAATTAATGGTCTCATGTAGGCAGTGTGTATGGACATTAATGTGTTTTTTATTAAAATCTTAAATGATATTCTTATGCCTGCTAACTTCCCCATTATGTTATCGAGTTCTGAGATAGCTAACACTGGTACTGGATTATCTACACCATATTTTATATTAAAAATGAAGACTTAAAACAAGTATTTTATGTTTTTAATGATACCATTGGAAAAGAGTAGGTCTTTTTCTTATTATTAATATACAAAAGATAGAGAATTAAAAAAAAAATGTGTCCTGTTTTAATTTAAGGAAAGAACTGGGCCAAAATAGAAGTGCCATAGGTAAAGGATTAAACAGAGTTGCATATATAAGTTCTACACTGTACAGACTGTACAGATACTATACTTCAATAATTACCCTTTTCTTCTTTAACTGGAGATGGCTCAAGCTCATTCATGAAGAAATCCATGTAGTCAAGGCTGTCACTATCCAATAAGAGTTCCCCTTCCCCCTTCCTCTCCAGAGGAGGGGTCAGAGGAGGAGTCATTGACACTGTTTCTTCAGACATTGTTCCTCAAATAAGGAAAACTGGACAAACTGTAAAAGGTGCCATATCTGGAAAGTAATGAAACTTTTAACACAAACTCAATTTTTTTGTTATTTACAGTTACATCCATGACAGTATGCTGTCATATTGATACTAACTACAGTACAGTATATTAAAAACAAATATTAATAGTTAGTCATTACAACTACCTGGGTTAGCCACCCACCTCTCATACAGGCACAAGTGCAGCAAACTTAAGACACTTCAGACATGAAGATCAGCAAACAATTGCAAGCCATCTGATATAAAAACATGGAGTAGAATACTGCAAGGTTCATCTTGGGGTCAACCCTTTTTTTTAATATACATCAATCACTGATGAGAAAATTATATTTATCAAATTTACATATAATACAAAGTTCGGTGATAAAAGGCAAAGCGAAAACAACATTGCGCAAAACGTGTATGAAAATTTATTGGGGAGATAGATAAACTACAAGTATGCATCAATAATGTATTCCAATGAGTAAGATAACAACATGTTCAGCAATGACAGATTCCAAGTAGGCTACAATACTTGCCTATGGAAAAATTTATAACAAATTTAGAAGCAGTTAGATACTAATTATAATAATTCATTGTCAGGGGACAGGCAGCCAATGAATATACATACGTAAGGATTATATTGAGGTGCCCCCTACTACAAGGTCATACTACTGACTCTTCCCCAGCATACAACCCCACAAGCTGAATAAATCCTGGTTTCCTATTCACTGCATTAAGTGATAGGAAACGCGCCCAACCATTACTGGCCCGCTCCAGATTTGAACCCAGAATTCCGGTTTGTGAGTCGAAAATGAACCCGACATTACTACTTCGATCCCATCACCCTACTTACCTTACTTCTCAAATTGCACTACTAATCTTAATTTTACCTAAACACTGTGAGAGGCATTAGGAGTGACTGCTTCCAAAGGTCAAACACTCTCCAAGTATCGCCTAACGATTCGGCTCTTAGATCCCGCCTCTAAACCCGAACACTTTGGGTTCTATCTTTACATGAATACGTTTACAGAATCTGCATTTACCACTTAATCTCACTTTTTTACTACTTTCTTCATCTAATTCCTCTACTACCTTGAGAGTGAAGGAAGTACAGGTATAAGTAATATTTGGCAAGTTGTTCTAGCAAGGACTCGCCGTCTCGCGCCTAAATTTGTGTTGTTGGTCAACAGCTGAGGAGCCGCTTGTTCTCATCCACCACACAGCTCCTCACTCTCCAACACCACCGCTCCTTTAATGCAAGCATTTATTTCTGAATAACAGCTAATAACTTAAAAGCCTCTACTTGAGATGTATTATGTAGGTAATGACCAGGTACTGGGCAGAAAAGGAAGAGGAACATGTGGTGGATAAAAAGGAAGGACAGAGGCCGCCTCTCTATAAATCTTTGTTATTAATTTATATTATTATTATTTTATATATATATACGAAAGTTCTTACATTCTTATACAGTCACTAATACGCATAGCGATTTGGGCAAGTCCTTAATCCTATGTTTCCCGGAATACGACCCGCCAAATCGTTTAACAACAAATTACCCATTTTACTGTTGGGGAACAGAGGCTACAGTTAAGGATTGACATCCAGTAAATCCTCCCCGGCCAGGATACGAACCCAGGCTACAGCACTCGTGAAACGCCAGGCCTTAACGTCTTAACCACTACACCACGGGGACTGCTAATCCTAATATCAATTCAATGAATATATCTAAAAATGTATAAACTTTCATGCCTCATTCTTTGATCAAATATGTTTGTCAGTATATATTTTATTTTACATTTGCTTACAAATTTAATTAGGGATTTTTTCAGTGTCCGAGTTGTTAACAAATGGAATGCATTAGGCAGTGATGTGGTGGAGGCTAACTCCATACACAGTTTTAAATGTAGATTTGATAAAGCCCAGTAGGCTCACGAATCTGTACACCAGTTGATTTACAATGAGAGACGGGACCAAAGAGCCGAAGCTCAACCCATCACCCCTCGCAATCACAACTAGGTGAGCTTTTTTCCAGGGCGCATCCGATCCCTCGATGATCGTCGCCCCTCAACCAACAACACGAATTTCCTCAATGACAAGATTATCAAATTCGAGTGGCTTTATTGTCTCCCTTGTTATTAGTTTATAAAAAATCCAATAAAGAATAGTAGCATAGGTATTGTAATAGTAGGGAGGAATGGGAGTGGTTGTACGGGGGTGGAGGAGTAGGGCTGGTGAGAACCCCCACGACCCACCCCAGGGTGGCGGCCCCTACCTACACACACACGGCAGCGTGCACACACTGGCATGGACACACTTCACTCACTGGAGAGGAAATACCTGTACTCCGACTATGTCACTGCTGGCCTCAACTCCCCACCTGAAGGTGTGTAAGTGGGAGGTGTGGGTGACTTACACTGCACGTGAGGGAAGGCTCTACTTGCCTCCACAACATTAGTTACGGTGCAGTATTAGTGGCGACTGTGCAATTGACCGCGGCAGGAGCAATGATTACTAATGCTCATAACTTGAAGATACATTTTACGTTAATATTTTTCATTTATGTAAATTCATTTAAATGAATGTTTCTGTGTAAAGTTTTCTTTTAGGTTCTTCAGATAAAAGGCCAGCCCGTCTCTTGAGAAATCACAGCTTTTATAAGTATAATAATATAATACTGTAATTTCTGTTTAAAAGATATACAGAACATGAGAGTAGTTGATTATTTGTTACATAGAGGTGCATACTTAATAAAACCATAAGTACATAAAGCTCCTTTTCTAACTTGTCCCCAAGCTAACTTAACCTATATAGGTACATAACGGGTTAATTCATTTCGCTTCTATGTAAAAGATGGTTTAACTTGTTACACCTTGTGGGCTACTCCTTACACTCTTACTATGTGGTTAATTATATGGCCACTATGGGGATAATTCTTGGGCCAAACACATTTGTGCTGCTGTAATTAGATGAAGAAAATGTTGTTTTTGGTTGAGGGAGAAAATATGGAGGTACTGTAGCATGTTAACTGCTCACATTTCACTAGACCTTACCTAACCTAACTGTGAATTTATTCAAGGGCCGCCATCTCCAGCCATATCAACAGAGACGGGACCCTGCAGGCTTGTCAAAGATTATCTCCGCTCCTATATTATGAACCTGATCATTTTTTCCAGTTATAAATAATAAATAAATAAATTTTTATTCAGGAAAAGTACATACATAGTTGATTTACAAACATAATGTAACATGTAACAAACATAAATATATTTGAAACTGAAGCACTGTCGTGGAGAAACTGAAGCACTGTTTGTTTTGTGCATAACAAACATGTTATGTAACAAACATAATTATATTTGAAACTGAAGCACTGTCGTGGTACAGTATTTATGAATTTGCAGGGTGTGCAATTTCATGATTTTACTACCTTGTGGGTGAGAAAAGCATCTGTTGTCTGTCCTACATTGGCTTATTGAGCTTGCCGTCATCCCGTCTAGGTATGAAAATTCTCTAAAATGTTTTGACAAAAAAAAATCAATTTTTAAAATCAACCTTTTTTGACTACTTAGATTATTATTAAATTTTGTTGAATGTGACTTGACAATGATTGCTTGAACTGAATTCTTTGTCAACTCAGTAGTAGAGATCAAATCCAGTACAGTACATATGCCTCCTGCATAAATTCATTCACCATTTGAAATAGTCCACTTTACAACAAATTATTGTATAAACTTCATCCAGACTTTTGAGAAAAATACATAGAAAGATAACGAGACTTAATACCTCATATCTAGGGTCTTTCCTGTGAAGATTCAATAGATAGAAGAATTTGTCCAAACGTGGTTGAGAGCAAGCTTTGCTCTCTGCTCCATCTTAATCTTTGCCAAACTGCTGGCTTCCTGTTCCTGTCAAGAGCACTAGAGATATAACCCTCAGGTAAATTCAGGTAATTATAGAATAGAGATAGCAGTTTATTGCTGTGTAAATAAAGGTCCTTTTTTTTTTTACTATACTTGCTATATTATTTCATTGAAGTTTTATTATTATTTTTTGGGTCTTTTTGTCCATACTGTATTTAATTTTCTTTATAGCTATGGATTTGCTTCTGTTGACTGTTATGTGCCAATTTTATATTTGAAACCAATTCTTTCTGATTTCATCTCTTATGTTCATCTAATCATTGTAATTTCTGGCCTCCCCAACAAGTTTTTCAGTTGATTTCTTTTCTCTGGCCACTTAGGCAAAAATTTATTTGAATATCTGATTTATTTCTTCATGCTCTTTCATGCTTCCTCCTTATGATCTGTCCAAGTTTCCTATCTGGTGAATGTCATTCTCCAACTTTTCACTTGAAGTTATATCTAGATTTGCCCTGTGAAAAAAAATTAATGTTTTTTCAAATTATTTGTTTTTGCCTACAGATTTCGTTGTTTAGCTTGCAAGATATTTTCCGTCTTTCAATCACTATTTTATGCTCTCTCGATGTATCTGCTGGCCTTTTAGTCTAACAGAATCCTACCCTAACTCTGGCAAGCCATCTCCAGAGATGCTATTTTCCTCCCCAAAGTATGAACACAGTGCAACTCATGCTGCATAAACATAACCAGATCATAAATCTCATGGTGTGTGGGGGGTCTACTGTACTGTGTATATTCACTGTCTCTTGTGCCAGTCAGAAAACAAACATATCAACATACTGTAATAAATGCAATAATTGGTGTTAAACAGGTTTTTCAACTAACAGTGGTAGGAGGTTAGATTGAGGTGTCTCTGCAAATAGTGTTTTCATCTCAACTTTACAGTCTCTTCTTGCATATGTACAGTATTTAAAATAATAGAATGCCTGTTACAAGTGAAAGAACAGGCTGTAGACAATTGAAGATAAAATTAATATGCAAGTAAATGTATTAAAGTACAATACAGTGCACGTGTAGTATGAAGAGCGTGTTGGTTAAGGTTTGTGTTTGTTTAATTTAATCTTAATTCCATTCAATTGGGCTCAAGGAGACAAGAACCATAGACCCCAGGCGTGTGAGTGTCCATCTTAAACTTAATATTTTAATCTAAAATTTTTAATCTTAAGATTTTTTGCCATCTGCATAGAGTATTAACAACTTGTGGCATTTGTGGAGCTTGGATTCATATTAAAGATCTTGGCACAATTACCATATTTTTGTAAGTAATTATATCTATTGATGTATTTTTCTTTGATTTCAGATGCCGGAATTTGGGAAAGTGTTGCAAAACTTGTTGCTGTCGGGAGTTACGTAGCTGCTTTACAAGAGCCAGAGTGTCAACTTGCACTTGGAAGTGATATCAAGAAACAGAGGACAGCAGGAGTCTCCATCAAAGATCACTACAAAGAAGTTTTATCTTCTTACCTATATAAGGGAGGATCTGATAAGCAACATGTCGTACTGTGCATTGGCTTGTCGTCACTTATGCTGTTTACTCAAAACAACTTCACTGGACCAATTATTGGTCCATTACCCAGTACCTTACTGCCAGGTTTGACAATTGAGGGCCAAAATGAGGAGAAAATCAAAGAGGAAGCATTAGAATCACTAGTAGGAGACTCTGAAGGAGTTTACAACTTGTTGTATGGGCCTGAGTACCTATTGTTGGCCAATCTTATTCTTGTTGATCTCCGGCCATTCTTGCCAACATGCTTGACAATAGATTGGTGGTGTTTCCGCTGTGCTCTCCTGCATCAGAGAGTAGCTGAAGAGCGATCTCCTCAGCTGTATGAGATACTCTTACAGGCTCTCAACCAAGTTGAAAACAATCAACAGTTGGTAAATATCAGTGTGTCAAGAGACTTGACAGCTCTTTATCATCTAGAAGCTGGGCATCTCCACTTATATTTTTATGATGTTGGACGAGCTGGTGATCATTTTAAAAAAGCTGCACAGGCCCTGGAGATTGAAATTGACTTATCAGGGGCCCTTGGGAAAAGAACAAAGTGGCAACAAGAGGACCGGCCACAGTTGGTCACTAAAGTAGAATATAAAGGACAACCATTAATGAACAATGAGCTCCCAGGCAATAATCTTCTTCCTACTGACCTTCCCAAAGATGTTCTTCTCAATGATGATATTAGACTTCATAAAATTAAGTTTCAGGAGCAAGATGATGATGTTATCCCTGATTTAAGACCAATTGAACAAGCATTAATTTTGTCCACAGTCACTCACAAGAGACGGTCATCAGCAGCTGATCTGCAGCTCGATCAGGAGACAAAGGCATACGTTGTGGCACTCCTTCAATATCCGAAGAACTGGTGTTTCCAAATGTCTGCTTTACTGTTAAGATCTCGTGTGGAGGCTACTGAGACAAGAGCAATGGAACGTTCACTGCATCAAGTGGAGGAGCTATTAGCAGCTGTAAATCGATCCGAACCATCTAGATATGAGAGACTGAAGCTCTTTTCTACTTCATTAGTAATCCCTCATTGGGAATTACAACAAGAATTAGCCAAGATGCTGATGAGATTAGGATGTATCAAGACAGCTCTTGAAGTTTTTGAGCGTCTTCAGCTTTGGGAGGATGCTATTACATGCTATAATGAGCTGCAAATGCGTCAGCGATCTGCTGAAGTGGTAAGAAATCAGTTGAAGAAAGGAGAAACCCCAAAATTGTGGTGCCTGTTAGGTGATGCTACCGATGATATTGAAAATTACAAGAAAGCTTGGGAATTGTCCAACCACAAAAGTGGAAGAGCTCAGCGAAGCTTGGGAAATTATTACTATGTAAGGAAGGACTACAACAATGCTATTTTGCATTATGAAAAAAGCATTGAAATCAACAAGTTGCAATTCCCTGTGTGGCAGAGACTAGCTTATTGTGCCTTGCAGGTTGAAGACTGGGAAAAATGTGCTCAGGCATATAGAAGATGTAGTGTGTTAGAGCCAGATAGTTTTGAAGTTTGGAACAACATGAGTCAAGCATATCTGAAATTGGATCAAAAACCACGAGCATGGAAAGCTCTCCAAGAAGCGTTGAGGTGTAAAGTCGACTCTTGGCGACTGTGGGATAACTTCATGCTTGTAAGTACATCTTTGGGCTATATGTCACATGCATTGAATGCTTACAATCGCATTTTAACAATGAAGGAACGTCATGTCGACACACAGATCATTGGACGCATAGTAAAAGCTATAGTAGAGGGTCAGGTGGATCCTGAAGGACGTGAGGTACGGGGACTATATAAAAGATGCTCAGAGCTGCTTGGCCGATTGACTAGTGAGGTACCAACAAACCCAGAACTGTGGTACCTGTATGGCATTCTTACTCGGGCAAATACAGAACCAAGCCCTGAAACTCGTCACTTAGCTATGCAACAGTTCAAGAAGGCTGTGGCAGCAACTACACAAAAAGCAGGCTGGGAGAAAGACACAATTACAGCAGTAGCTGTGTTGCATCGGTCTGCATGCTTAATAGATGCAGCTCTAGCAGCCACAGATGGTGTGAGTGCCAAAGTAGCTGTGGCTGATCTTAACTCTGTAAAAATGTCTGTACGTGGAGCAGTGTTGGGAACTCGAAGAGGTCAAGTAATTGTAGCCACAGGTCAAGTGTTGGAAGAAGTGCAAGAACCGCTCAAGAAAGTAGAAGAGACATTAGATATACTGATGCAAAAGCTGGAAGAAATTAAATTACAGACATGATTACTACAGCTTTGGGTAGACAGTGAAGAATTTTGCTGTTGAACCAAATATTTTATATTAGCTGTTCTTAATCACTTCAAGTAGTGATTGTTTTATATTAGGGCTAAACAATGTGATAAGAGATTTTGACTGCTGTACTGTACTCTTGCCAAGTCTGTACACTGCTGTGGATATTTACATTATTAAAGACAATTTAATATAAATATGTATTTGGTCTGTTTTCCTTTTCAAAATGCAATACTACTGTAATAGAGAATAGTGTAAATTTACTGTACAGTATTTATATAATACAGTACAATAATGCAGTATAATAATTGTGGCACCTGTATTTAAATAAACAAAAAGTGATAATTTCACAATTGTTGTACAGTGCCGTATTTTATATTTACATAAGTCACAATACTGTACTGTATATCTATTTGGATCTACTGAAAAAAAGTGATCAAGAATGGAAAATTCAAGAAATTTCTGACCAAAACATATCTGGGCACTAAAATTTGATGTTATGAGTAATTGCAAAGGAACACCAATACAGAACATAGTTGCAAAGCTTGATCAGTACACAGCTGGATAGGCTATCAATACTGTAGAGTTGAACTTTGATGGAATGGATTACTCTTAAATTGGCATTGCATATGGACTTTAATGCCGCCTTATTTTAGATTCTTAAATGCTGTTACAATGTTTGCCAACTACACATATGCTGCTGATGTTATTCTGTTTGTGAACAACTGGTGTTAATGTTGAAATTATTTCCACTCCCAGATATTTTTGGTCTATGCTTGTAGTTGCCCTCTTGTAATGTGTTGTAGTTACCTACAAGTCTCTTATCTCCCTTTCCCATCTTCATTTGCTATGGCACACTTGGGTTAGAGAGAAGGGCTAGGGGAATATTTCTTTTCACCTAATGCCTCTGTTCTTCTAGCAGCACACATTTCCATTTTGTTAAGGCCTTCTTGCTGCACTCTACAGTCTTGGTTCTCACTTTCCTTGTTAACATTCCTTCATCTGCAAACACACTGGCAGATCATTTACATGAATTGGAACAACAGTCATGAGCCTGACAAACTCATCGACTATGACCCTTGGTTTCCTATTTGTCAGGTACTGTCATGGCAAGTAATGTCAATTCTGTTATTTATGCTGGCATTAGTCTTGTGAAGAACTGTATCAATAGTTTTCTCGCACCTTAATTCTATTGTCTTATTTTAGGGACCCTAATTCAATAAAGTTTGTTGAGCATAATTTTCCATCTGAATCCATGTCTCTCAGTTACAAAAACTACTCTCTCCAAATGTTCTTCAATTCTTTTCCTGATTATTTTTTCCAGTAATTTGCATGGGATGCAGGTTAATGATACTTGTTTATAATTTAATGTTTCATGTCTGTCTCCTTACTTGATTGTTGAAACTACATTTACCTTTTTCCAGATTTCTGGAAGCTCTTCAGATTTTACTGTTATGTTGAAAGCTTTAGTTAATGGATAACAGTCCCTGCAGTCCTTCAGTAGCCACAATAATATTTGGTCAGGTCCTACTACTTTTATAACATCCAATTCCTCTAGGGTGTCTTTCTTAGATGCATTATACTGTACTTTCCTACCACCCATACTGGAAATGAGAACTTCCTAACATCTCTCTGACCCATTTGAATGTCCAGCTTCCAACTATGCCTCCTTGTCCCACCTTTCTTTTAATATATATTGGCTTCCTTTATCCATTTTATCTCTTCTTCTCAAGATCTTCTCTTCTCTTAAAGTTGTGAGGCTGAGTTCTCTCAACCTGTCTTCAGAGCTGAGGCCTCTCAATTCTGGTACTACAAGGTAATCTAATTACAAACCTCACGTTTGGTGGTAGAGAGCAGAAGAGCTTGAAAGAGGGCAGTATCAGAGGTTGGATGAGGGGGTGAGAGTGGGCAGCTCGAATAAGGCTGGGTTTTGGCTATCTGTTCTGTAGTGAGGCTTGTATAATTTTGTGAGAGTTGGAACTAGACTCGTCAAGTGTTACGTCATATGCTGATGAATATCGGTGGTGTTGGGGAAGATCCATGTTATATCCAGAGCGTCTTCACTGAATTGCTGGTAGAGTTAGTACGATACTTTATTCTCGATCTGTACTCTCCTAGTTGTCTGTGTCCATCTTCCCTTGTGTTGGACATGGTTTGATGTTCACTTGGCAGGTTGATCATCATTTGGCCTGCAAGTGATTTGTAGAAATATTGAGGAATATGCATTAGTGTAATTGCAGATGTCATTAATGGTTAGTGAACAAATTGCAGATGTCATTAATGGTTATTGAACAAATTGCAGATGTCATTAATGGTTAGTGTCATATATCAGTAACATAGATGAGAATATTACAAACCACAAAATAAAATTTACAAATGACACTTAAGATTTGTGGTAAAGTACGAAGTGAAAGTGATATTCAGGCATTACAAGAAAGTCTACATGAGCTCCACGAATGGTCAGAAGGCTAGCAGATGCTTTTTAATCATGAAAAATGCAAGACGAACCTTTCATGTGGGCATAATAATACATGTCATGACTTAGTCAGCAACATTATCTTGCAGCAGATTGATGATGAAATAGACCTTAGGGTCATATTCCACCATTTATTTATCCCACAAGAAGACTTGCGGCTAGGAGCATCCATGTTGCTGGTTTGAATTCCTGCACTTTTCTGATTGATTTTCTCAATTATATATGTATCATATTGGTGTGTTTTCTAATATATACAAATATACAACATGTATATACAACATATACAAGTATGTTGTATATTTGTACAACATACTGTACAAATTCTTTGTATAGTATGTTGCACAACAAGTGGGAGCAGCAGTAAAAAAAAAAAAAAAATAGCCAAATCCTAGGAATACCTGTAGTCAATACTTTGATTTTAAAGAAAAGAAGTATTTATTCAGCTGTATAAATTTCTGGTGCGTCCCCACTTAGATTATTGTGTCCAAGCATGGTGACCTCATCCTCAGAAAGATGTATCGGCCTCGGAGAACATTCAACACCGGGCAACAAAAATCTTTCAGGAATTAAGTCAACTTTCATACCAGGAAGAGGTTGCAGGCTAAAGGGGCTAGCAACACTGCAAACCAGACATGACAAGGCTGATCTTGCCGAAACTTTTAAATTACTGAACAATTTGCATGATATTGATTTAGACAACTTGTTATAAAGGTCAGATGTAACACAAACAAGAAGCAACAGTTAAAAACTCAGCAAGCCACAATGCAGGAATGAAAACATGGTTTTTCACCCATAGGCTTATAAACCCATGAAACTGCCTACCCGTTGTAAATGCCAAAAAAAAATCATTAGGGCAAATAGAGAGGGACCCTTGACAAGTCACCGGCTTCCTGTCCTCGTCGAGGCCACGAGAGGGTTAGGGGCCCTCAGGTAAATTCAGATAAAATGAGGTAAATGAGATAAAATGCAGTTTCCGTGGTGTAGTGGTTAAGAGACACTCTTGGCGTTTGGCGAGCACTTTGTCCTGGGTTCGTATCCTGGCCGGGAAGGATTGACTGGGGACAAATTCTTAACTGTAGCCTCTGTTTAACTTAACAGTAAAAATCTGGTTGTTAAACGATTTTTCAGGGGGTCGTACTAGTGGCTGTACAAGAATGTAAGAGTTCTTGTATATATAAATAAAAAAATAATATATATATATGACAATGTCAGACTACGAAGGAATGATTGCGACAGGAATTTCCTTAAGTACTTTCGTATTTAATAATACATCTTCAGAATTATTAAATACCAAAGTAATTCCTGTCCTAATTCCTGTCCTTCACAGTCACAATGTTCATCACGTGTAATGTCTTCGTGATTTACATACACACATTATAAGTGTATATATATGTATATATACACATCAATGTATATATATATAAACTATATAATATATATTTTTATTTTCCCCTTTTTCCGCGTACGCCGACAGGTACGCGAATTTTCACGAAAGGGCGTCAGTTGTGTCAAACATATTCGTTCAATAAGCTATATATATGTTACATAATTAAAAGATACAGACCAAGTAAAGGATAAATAAACATACTGGGGGATGTATTATACTTGTGTTAGTAACTAAGAGGCGCGTGTGAGAGTGAGGAGTGAGAGAGTGAGAGGTGAGAGGGGAAATTAGTAAGGTGAGTGAGCGGTAGCGTGAGGGAGTGAGTGATGGCGGCGCCGTGCGGGGCGGCCGCCGGCCCCGTACCGCTCACTCCGACTCCATTTTGAAAGACAAGAGGAGCTCACGCATTCCATCTCTGGTGAGTTGAGGCCGTTTTTATTAATGGTACAGCCTCGCCTGCCCTCTTCGACGTGTGCCACAGTGGGTAGTGAGTCGTATCCGTCCTTGTGCAAGTGAATTGGTTGTGTGGCGTTAAGGACTACGAGGGTAAATGAGCGACCTATTACATTTCCCGCGTGAGCTGCGAGGCGGCCAATGGGTCATCCACGAGGGTTACAAAAAACATTGGTGGGACCACCGTGGGGGTTGATAATGTGTGGTGTTGTGGTAGCGAGTGTGTGGTGGAGAGTGTGTGGGGTGGTGTGTGGGTGTAGGGCAGCTATGGGTGCTCCACGGATTCCTTTTGACACCAACTTGGTGATCGATCGGCGTCCTGCCCCCCCCCCCCCCCCCTCTCCCTCAACCCGTCCTCCGACAACCTTCACCCGCGCTTTGTTCCCGCTCCTGGCCTCCCCTGCTAGTCCTTGTCCGCTCCTGGCCTCCCCTGCTAGTCCTTGTCCGCTCCTGGCCTCCCCCTGCTAGTCCTTGTCCGCTCCTGGCCTCCCCTGCTAGTCCTTGTCCGCTCCTGGCCTCCCCTGCTAGTCCTTGTCCGCTCCTGGCCTCCCCTGCTAGTCCTTGTCCGCTCCTGGCCTCCCCTGCTAGTCCTTGTCCGCTCCTGGCCTCCCCTGCTAGTCCTTGTCCGCTCCTGGCCTCCCCTGCTAGTCCTTGTCCGCTCCTGGCCTCCCCTGCTAGTCCTTGTCCGCTCCTGGCCTCCCCCTGCTAGTCCTTGTCCGCTCCTGGCCTCCCCCTGCTAGTCCTTGTCCGCTCCTGGCCTCCCCCTGCTAGTCCTTGTCCGCTCCTGGCCTCCCCCTGCTAGTCCTTGTCCGCTCCTGGCCTCCCCTGCTAGTCCTTGTCCGCTCCTGGCCTCCCCTGCTAGTCCTTGTCTGCTCCTGGCCTCCCCTGCTAGTCCTTGTCTGCTCCTGGCCTCCCCCTGCGAGTCCTTGTCCGCTCCTGGCCTCCCCTGCTAGTCCTTGTCCGCTCCTGGCCTCCCCCTGCTAGTCCTTGTCCGCTCCTGGCCTCCCCCTGCTAGTCCTTGTCCGCTCCTGGCCTCCCCCTGCTAGTCCTTGTCTGCTCCTGGCCTCCCCTGCTAGTCCTTGCTTCACCTGGTTCTTGTTTCACCTAGCCCATGCTTCACCTGGCCCTTGCATCACCTGGCCCTTGCATCACCTGGCCCTTGCATCACCTGGCCCTTGCATCACCTGGCCCTTGCATCACCTGGCCCTTGCATCACCTGGCCCTTGCATCACCTGGCCCTTGCATCACCTGGCCCTTGCTTCACTTGACCATGCTTGGCCCAATGGCCTGTTCGTGTGCACTGTGGCCTTTTTGTTTTTTTCCACCCAAGCCTCCTGAATATTCGTGATCCTGTCCCTATAACCTATTCGTCACCCTTCACCCACACGGGCCAACCACTTGAACTGGACGGTAGAGCTATGGTCTCGCTTCATGCAGGTCGGCGTTCAATATCCCTGACCGTCCAAGTGGTTGGGCACCATCCCCCCCCCCCCGTCCGATCCCAAATCAAATCCTTATCCTGACCTTTTTTCCTGATAATGCCCTTCCCTTCCATCAAAAGTTTCATTCCAAATACAGTACTGTATTATGTATATATAATTGAAAATCATAGTTTTCTTCAATTCTTGGATACATGGAAATACATGGATTACATATAAAATCTTCCCTGGTGGACTGGAAATGTTTTTGAGCCCCGAGTGATGATGGATCATACAATAAATGCCTTTCATATTTTTTTTTAAATAACTTTTCCCACTACTGTAATTTGAAATCTGAATTTTGCCCCATCATTGCTCCATCTCTACAGCACTCGTGCATATTATCCCACAAAAAGATTTTCTGATTATAAGATGAATTGCTTTCCAAAATGAAGCTTTGGTAGTTGTTTGAACTAAACAAAAGAGAAATTCCTCTTTAAGTGTACCTGAGTTAATATATTTTGCCGACACTAGCAACTGGGAATATGATGCCACATCAGTTGAATCTTTAAATTTAATTAAAAATAAGATAAATGCTGCAGACTTGATTTGTACAACTTGATCCTTGATATCAATGGCCATGTTGTTGATTCTCCTTTGATCAGTACTGTTTGATAGTGAAACTGCTGCAAATCTTACTCCAGTACATTTCCCAATACAATTTTGCCCTTTTTGAGAGTGCAAGGTTTCATCAAAAGTTCCTCAGTTGTATGTTGCATTTTCTTCTTTGCTATCTCCAGTGCTTTGATATAAGAAACTTCATTAACTGTGTGGTTCATTTCTTAGAATGCCTACTGAATTCATCATGTTCCAAAGAAGCTTTTATCCATGTGTTGATGCTGGACGTTCTGCAAATGTTGCTTGAACTTAATTGGTTTCATATAATCATTTGACAAAGCTTTGTTAAAAATAAACACTCTGAGGCCTTTTTCCTCCATGGATGATAATGGATGTGAATATGTATTCAATATACAAACCATTGCCCCTCCCCCCTTTTTTTGACACAAGCTTCAAAAATGTGTGAACAAAAAGCAAGAAAGTCAAATATATAGTAACTAAATGTAATATTTTTCTAGATAAAATGTTAAATATTTAGCTTAATTTTTAATCTAATCTAAATTAATAAATTTATTAATAGGTAATAAAATGTAAAGTCCTGTAGATTATGTACAATCTGTTGACTTAGTTTGTAGAAAGATCAAAATTTCAACAATTTGAGTCTGATCCCAAATTTCCTTTCTTCCCCACCAACCCCCGTTTTGTAACCCTAAAATTCCCTTCCCTTCCCTTGGTAGCAATCTTCCACCCATTTCCCCCTCCCTTCCCTGTTTGAGAACCTCTGTACTATAGTATTTCCCAGCCCTCACCACTCGTAACTGCCATGCCCTGGGTAGGGCTGACAAGATATCAGTCTCGGTATTTACCATAGGCCCACATATCCACTCCAACTAAGCTAATCTGGTACTTGCTGGAATTTGTCCAATTGCCTCTTGAAATCATCTACTGTACTCTAGTTCCAGCCATATTTCTTGTACTTAGTGCAAGGAGGTTAAACACCTGTGGGCCTCTGATATATACATAGTGTTCTCTGATTTTGCTTATGGTTTAATTTTTTTAGTGCATGCTGCATTCACCAGTTTTTGTCATGTTCATGTAGGGGCTTGCCTTACTTGTTTAGATATGACTTTTGGAAAGGTGTGAGGCATTTGCTTTATTACACACAAATTACAATAGCGTGATGCATCAAATGAACAAATGCGCAAGGGCCGTGACGAGGGTTCGAACCTACGTCCGAGAGGATCCCAGGCACTGCCTTAATCGACTGAGGATTTGTTCATTTGCTCTATTCTCTAGGGTGGAAGTTGGGACAATGCGCATGCACCATATTGTGATTCTTTCACCTGTTATGGTTCCAGGTATTTTGTGTCTTGCAATGATTGCTGTGGCTTTATCTGTTGACAGTTTTTCTTGTCTATTTCGGTCATTGCAGTTCTATGGTTTGTTGTTTGTCATCACCTTAGCCAGTTTTGTTAGCCATTTGGGCTATTTAGACATTTTTCTATTTCTCTTAAGCTGTAGAAGTTTTGCTTATCAACTTGGCTGTTATTACCCCCACAGGTCATCTATAATTCACATTGAAATTCACCCGGGCACTTTGAAATTTGGTTTGAAAATGCTCAAGTCTTCCTAGAAATGGTCTATAACCATTCTATATTTTATTTATTTCTAATTTAATGTAATTAATTACATTTCCAGAAGAAACATGGAGGACAGTGCACCAGATGGCCCAACCGGAGGACAAAATTCGACTCCCCACAACGGCTTCCGTGGCCGCGGTGGCTTTAGAGGGGCACGAGGTGGGGGATTCCGTGCAAGAGGTGCCCCAGGATATTCAGGGTATGTTAGATATTCTAAATGTTATGGTTCTTCAGTGAACATTCATCACTAACTAATGTTTTAAGCTATAATTGTCAGAATCTACATACCATTCCGTAAAGTTTATTATTAACCAATTAAATCTGGATTGTACCTGGATGAGGTTGTTGGAGTTCTAATACTTCCCATATGGGAGGTGTTGGCCTGTGGAGACGGGAGGGGGTGGCCTGTGGAGACGGGAGGGGGTGGCCTGTGGAGACGGGAGAAGGGGGGAGTCTGTGGTGACGGGAGAAGGGGGGAGTCTGTGGTGACGGGAGAAGGGGGGAGTCTGTGGTGACGGGAGAAGGGGGGAGTCTGTGGTGACGGGAGAAGGGGGGAGTCTGTGGTGACGGGAGAAGGGGGGAGTCTGTGGTGACGGGAGAAGGGGGGAGTCTGTGGTGACGGGAGAAGGGGGGAGTCTGTGGTGACGGGAGAAGGGGGGAGTCTGTGGTGACGGGAGAAGGGGGGAGTCTGTGGTGACGGGAGAAGGGGGGGAGTCTGTGGTGACGGGAGAAGGGGGGGAGTCTGTGGTGACGGGAGAAGGGGGGAGTCTGTGGTGACGGGAGAAGGGGGGGAGTCTGTGGTGACGGGAGAAGGGGGGGAGTCTGTGGTGACGGGAGAAGGGTGGAGACGAGAGGAGACAGGGCAGAGTGGTGAACAGACGGGAGGATGTCTAGCAGTGACCTGGATACCAGGTTGACTAGGGCACTACTTAGTATCCCATCTAGTATATACTGTATATAAGTACAGTAAAATGAAAAAAACTGTGTGTGTGTCTGAAGTTAGAGGCCAGATGCTTGGGGCCATCCTCACCCAATTTGCAAATATAATTACCGTTGGGTATGTGCCCAACATGGCCAGGTTGGGATTGATATCAATGACATCAGAGGTCCGCGGCTGTTCAATGTCCTCCCAGCGACTATAAGAAATATTGCCAGAACAACTGTGGACATCTTCAAGAGGAAACTGGACGGTTTTCTAAGAGAAGTTCCGGATCAGCCGGGCTGTGGTGGGTATGTGGGCCTGCGGGCCCCTCCAAGCAACAGCCTGGTGGACCAGATTCTCAGAAGTCGAGCCTGGCCTCGGGCCGGGCTTGGGGGAGTAGAAGAACTCCCAGAACCCCATCAACCAGGCATCAACCAGACATGGTGCTAAAATGGCCCCTGAACCTAACCCCGGATGTTGCTCAACACTTTCGCGTTCTCTCTCGGCGTGTGGGCCCCAGCCTACCCCAAGGTGGGCCGTGTTTCACGTAAGGAAGTTGCCACACTGAAACGTGTACTCTATTCAGTTTTCTTACCTCAATTTTCATTGTACGTTGTTCATTTTGGTATCAATTTGTTTGCAATAGAATTCCCTACAGGGGTATAAGCACATAAAGGCCAAAATGCCCGCCCCCCCCTCCCTGCAGCAAAGCCGAAAGTCGGCTTAGCGTTACCCGTGTGCGTCCACCCATTGGCACACCCACAATCCGTAACCCCTAAACACAAATGTTTATACTCTTTTCAATTTGATAACATCAATTTTCGTGTTATGTCGTTCATTCTGGTATCAAATTGTTCGCATTAGAATGCACTAAGGGATATATGCATATAGGGGCAAATGGAAGAACAACAACATTACCAGTACCAAAAGATAAAATATAAACAACAATATCATAAAAAAGAAAAAGAAAAAAAAAGTGTGTACTTATCACCCAATGATGATTATAGAGCATGAGTTGAGCATTAGGTTGAACCACTCCACCTGCTCCAGAAAAAGGTTTCCTGAAGTTTCTCAACCCATGTTTTATAGGTGGAGTGGATTAGGAGTAAGCATTACTGCTTATCAACCCAGTATGTCCTCTTGTGATGGTATGTGCTGTTGCACGGTGCCGCACATAGTGCCACACCACACGATTTGCACTTATACCTGGTGTCATTCCTTTTACCAGACTTGTAGACGTCTCAGATGTTTCTCTATGCGAATTAGGGAATGGCTCAAGTTCCTGTTCAGACATTCTGATTTATCCACAATATGAGTGTTTCTCTTAGCAGCAGCACCACCAGAAGGAATAATCTGACTTGTGTTCTGAGTTACATGATGATTTTCAACTGGAGGTGAAGAAGCCCGGGGAAAATAGCCGGAACGTGCACACGTTTTGGACGCGAGGGGAAACACAATAACAATCTCCGACGAACGAAAGTGTTAACCACCGTGCACCTGGTTTCAGCAAAAAATACATAATGCCATTGTCGAGGACATATTTTTGCTGTTTTTATGAATGTTCAGGTAAAGTTAATGTCAAAATGTTTCCAAACTCAACCATTTTCATTTCAAAACAGTGATAAAAACATTAAAATATAGCCCAGTTAAAAAATAGCACAACCCTCAGAGCATCCTGTGCAATACAGTGATTAACCCCTGGGCTGTGCACCTGTTAATAGCTGACAACCTCTTGGTGCTCAAGAAAAAAAGTAAATATTTTTTTCCTTTATTATTGTTAAAATGCATTCCCGGATAATGGATGGGGGAGAGGATGGATTATATGTGACATACTTTTACTGTGATGGGGTGAGGAAGTCTGGGAAGATAAAGGCATCAACAGAGTAGTGGTCTGGAGGCAGTCTGCTCCAGCCAAGTTGTGTGGTGGGAGTTGTCACATTTGGTATATTATCACTTAATTTTTTAATGTCACTGATTTCAAGAGATCTACAATATTACACAATACAAAATCTTGTCCTTTTGTTCTTGATGTTGGAGTTTTCACATTCTTTTGTTTTGTTGATTCCTGTTACTATTTTGTATGTCAGAAGAGTATATTTTGAATGTCAAAGCACATTTGAGCTTTTATCTTATGTATATTTAATTAGCCTGTTCCTTTGAGCATTCCCACCGTCACTAAATTAATTTTCTGAGTTGCCCGAACCTAACCGAGAACCACGAAAAGAAAATGGGACATCAGGTCAATTTTGCGAGCCACTGATTTTTAGTACATCAATTTTTGGCCTTAGGGGATTTATACATCAAATGCAATGTACTATTTGAGAGGATGAGTTAATATTACACCTTTTACCTCTCTTTAGTTCTTGCTTTTCAGTTCTGGGAGGTATTTAGTTACATGTGCTGGTATCTTTTTGAGGAAGTTCTCATTCCGTGTGTGGGTGGTCAGCAAGTCATATGCATTGGAGATTTTGTTGAAGCAAATTCTATCCACAACTTTTAAGAAAAAATATGATGAAAACGTTACTGATGAGAGATTAATTAGCAAGTCTGGAATAAAAAGGGTCGGAGGTGGCGCATAAGGAGCTAGCTAGATCTCGCTTCCCTGTAGTCACTGATAGATAAGGAGACGCGTATACATACATGTACATATTACTGTATATGATAAGTACAAATAAATAAATAAATACAGTTTACTCAATGTACATGTTTAGGCAATTTTAAGACCATTTATATTGGCATTTAAATTCTAGATGTCTTGAATAAGGACTGGAGTTCCTCCCTTGATCAACTGTGGTCAAAACATGTAGTTTACAAGTTAATTGTAACTTGCTGGTTTTAATGGTGTGACAGCCACTTATGGTTTTGTTTCTGCATGGAATTAGAAGTTTGTACAGTATCCAGAACCTGTCATTACTATTGAGACATCGCACTGTATGACAAATATTTTGTTTTAAAATTGCGTTTCAGTCTACAGTTCAGTCAGTAGGTCCTTGCTTGGCTCGAATTTGCCTAACAAAATCTGGACGTGACATGATAATGTTTTAACATCATAATTCAAAGTGCGCCTGGGTGGGTTTATCTGCATGCAAGTTGATTAAGATTAGCTTATTTGTAACATTTTTGCATTATAAGCTTGCATCATGAAACGCAAAGTATTTGCACATTACATATTAGATTTGTTGCTGGAAGTGGTTGAAAATATTTAAATTTTATTGAGAAAAAATTAAAAAAAAAGTGGACATAATGAGCTCTGGAACAATTTTTGTCATTATTTTGATAATGTGCATGAAGTTCTGTAAAAATTCATTCATTAAGAATTATGGGGGCTGACTGTAAAGAAGCAGTTGAACCTGTTGATCAGCACGTGCTCACTGGTAGTTTGGTTTTGTCAAGTGTGACGCTACTTGCTCAGACACTATATAATTATCACAAAATAGCTATCGATACAATACTTCATGGCCATGATGTCCTTGGTAATTTTTTTTTTTTATTTTTTTTTTTAGAGGCCCAATGCGTGGTGGGTTTCGTGGCAGAGGAGGGTTTCGTGGAAGCCGGTGAGTAATACTAATCACTGGTATAATACAATTCTGTTATAGTAAACAATAATAATTTCATTACTTATTTTGCTTTTTTTTTTCCCCTTGCAGTGGTGCACCAGACAGTGGGTACCGGGGCAGCTTTCGAGGCAATTTCAGAGGTGGTTTCCGAGGCAATACTTATGGACAGACTCGAGGTGGTGGCTTCCGTGCTCGTGGAACAGGTGCTCCTCGTGGTAGTTATGGTGGTGGTGGATATGGGGATGGTGGCTACAGGGGTGGTGGCGGCTACAACAGTGGTAGCTACCGAGGAGCACCAAGAGGTCGTGGTGGTGGTGGCGGCGGCGGATACGAAGGGGGATATCAGAAGAGAGGGTGAGTACCTAACTTGGCCATCAAATGTTAAATGTAGGCTTGTTATAGGCTTTCAAAGGGAAAGTGGTGTTATTTTATGCTGAAGTTATGTTAATGTCTAATTAGCTGTATATGCTGAGCTTTACCCTTGTTGTAAAATATTAGTTTCATTAGTTTTTTTTCTTCTGTATTACTCATTTCTTGGTAACTGACAGTTTCTGGCCATATCATTATTAAAAACATGTTGAGTGTTTTTGGATGGCATGCGTATTAAGGGGAACTGCATGTTGAATTGCATGCACTTGTGAACCATAATGGTGATTATTGTAACAGTGACCTGTGAGTGTTCTTTGAGGTCCTGATTTGTTAAATATTGTAGAAAAAAAGTAAATAAATAAAATAAAATGACAAATGGGTAGAGGAATCGGTACACGAGTTTTGGGGGTATAATCAAGGAACCTGTAGGTTACTTAGTTGCGGTCTCTTTGTAGGGCGTCGCGTGGTTCATATGGCGGCCCTCCCATGAAGCGGCCCAGGATGGATGGGGAGAGTGGCTTCAGTAACAGGTAGGCCAAAGCAACTAAATTACTACCTACCATTTTGGTCACTCTTATTCAAAGTATGTAATTTTTTTTTCGTTTGCAAATGATAAAAAAAAAAAAAAAATGGCTTGGGAAGCCTGAAGATCATTTTCAGAGAGGGACTGCATTCCATGTGCATCCTCTTCTTGCAGCTTGTCTTGGTTATTGACTATTAATTATTCATACTCTTTAATACTTGAATGCACCCCAAAACTTGTCCTGTCTCCTATAGCACCTAAAGGTCACTGAAAATAATACAAGGACAAAAAACTAATGATTGAAGAGTATTGTTAGAAAGTTAGAAAGTGTCAGTTCCATAGTAGATGTTAGTTGGAATGGGTGGTGGTGCATGTTTCGGTATTTTGTGGCATAAGGCTGTGTAGACTAAATGTTGTAAATTTAACACTGGCTTTGTGAATCATTGTGTTTTAGATTGGTGATATGTTCCTAACAATGTAGGGTAGGTTAGTGATCAAAATCCTTGTTTATTTCTTTCAGTGGCTATGGCGGCGGATACAGTTCTTCTAACTATGACAACTATGGTGGCAGCAGCTATAACAGTACTCCAAACTACAGCAGCAGTGGATATGATAACTACAAGTCAAGTGAGTGATGACTGATTTGCAAATTCTTGCTTTGTGGTAGTGTGAGAGCATAATGCAGCCGGAGTATTCACAAGAAATAGTTCATTTGTGGTTTTCCCTATAAATAGTGTTCCTTCCAAGTAAACTGAAAGCTTAATCAGTATTGGGTGTGCAGCAAGTTATGGTATAATTAGTTGTTGGGTGAAGCTAGGACACTAATAAGGTTTTTCGTTGCTAAGTGTTTATGGTGATAATATAGACTGCTGTCTGAGAGTGGCTTTTATTTGCCTGGTAGGTAGGCACTAAACTTGATTGAATTATGCCTTGGAGTTTTTAATTTGTTATACATTGGTTTTGTCATGTGTAACAAGTTTATAATAGAATTGGACTAGATTTAGAACTAACTTTTTGTATAATTTGGCATTGATACCAAATTTTAGTGTTTGTGTTCATGTTCCAATATTTCTCATGTTAGTATACAGTAAGTCCTTGTTATTACAAAATTCACTATTGGGACAAAATAAAAATTATGAGTAGCCTTTGTTAAATATTAACCCCTGCACTGCACACCTGTTTTTGGCAAAAACTTCATAGTGCAGTTATTAAGAACATATTTTTGATGTTTTTATAGATGTTTAGGTAAAGTTAGTGTCAAATTGTTTTCAAACTCAGCTATTTTCATTTCAAAACACAAAAAGTGATGAAAACATTAAAAAATATTAAAATGTAGCCTAATTAAAAAACAACTCTAGAACGACTTTTGTTGGCCGGCGCAGTAAGGGGTTTAAAGAACCTGGGGATTAATTCTTGGGACAGGAAACCTTTAGTATATATAAACAAGTTTAGTGGTGATATAAGTGCCATAATTGTAATGCTGGCCATCTGTGTTGTCTTTCCAGATTCGGGCTATGACAGTACCTACGGGGGCGGCCAAAGTTATGGGGCCAGTAGCAACTACGATAGTTACGACAGCAGGGGTGGGTACAGCACGTCCCAAAACTACAACAATGGTACGTACTAAGCCCTTTACACAAACCAAACACTGCCAGGTTGCACGTGGAAGGAACTAAGTACGTACAGCAAGGTTTGGACGTTAGTGGGGAGCGAGTTCTATCATATGCTGTCTCGAAGTGGGACTTGATTGGTGCTGTGTAACAACAAAGTCAAAATACTAAATACGACAGTGGAGTCATAGAAATAGTTAAGAATAGAAGTGAAAAATGAGAAGGAAAATAAAGGATGCCCAAAAAAAGATGAGAAACTGAAAGCAGAACAGGTAACCAATGTTTATAACAAGATGAAACTTAACAAAGGCCCAACATGATATACAGAGAAAGTACCATATTTACAGACATTTTTTCTGGGTTTATTAAATGGAGTGAAAAATCCATAGAAATGAAGCAGTCATTAGATATTCAGTGACAAGACAATATTTCAGCAGAATGTAGTGAATGGTGAATGGCTTCTTAAATATCTTAAGAAAAAAAAAAAGTCCTGTATGTCCTGTGGAGACTGATATGAATTTTTGAATTATCTTGTGTTTGTAATTGTTCATTGACCAACTGGGGTATTAGGGTAATAAGCTACTAATGTATTCGCATTAGGTTAGTATAAACCTAATTGTATAAAAATGACCATAGGCCAGTTTTTTATCCCTAAAGATAATTAATTTCAATTATGCTGTATTTTGTCAAGAGGGTACATTTATTTTTTATACTGGAAGTATATATCAGTAGTTGAATTTAATTCAAGTGAGCTCCTTTTGTCTTTCGTAAAAAATAAATAAAAAATAAGATACACAAAAGCAAAGAAAAAGTTTGACAAAGATAAGGCCATGGTCATAATGTAATGTCTGTCCTTTGTATTAAGCAAATGCTGCTAGCAAATAGGCTTGCAGTTCTTCAAGTACAATAAAACCTACAAGTCATATAAGTTTTCTGAATCCATCCATCCAACCTCCCAGTCTAAGAATGAGGAAATAAAGGATCATACCTAATTAACACTCCATTTTAGGTGCAGGTAACGTATGATGTAGTGTAGTACCAAGAGTTATGAACATTACATTGTGTTTAAAAATGGATTAAAAGAATATGTTAAAAAATAACGTGATCACCAAAGATGGAAGGGTTTAGGTGCACTATTTTGAGGTAAGGGTTCAGAGATGTGCATTTTGCGTAAGGAGTCTATTGACTATACAAATCTTAACGCTACAATATGCACAATTTAGCAATGTTCGTGCACTCGTCTGTTTTTTAACTTCTGTAACTAGTGTAAGCTATTAACATTCAGTTGCAAGTGGGCAAATTTTATTCCTTACAGGACTGTACATTGGGAGGAAAATTTTTAAGGAGCCAAATGGATGGATGGAATATGTGGAGATTACCACAATCAAGCTCTAGTCAAGTAGATTCTCGTCTGTCTCTAAACCTTAAGTTTAATAAGTAACACATACGGATTTTGTTCCTACAGGCAGAATACTGGTGCAGGTGACAAAGCAGATGACAAGACAAATTATTTAAATGTCAGTGACACTGCTCGACAGTTTTAATATATTCCATCTTGCTGGCAGTCTTGCCTGCATATGTAAGGCCACAAAAAAAGCTTTATTATTGCTTTACGTATATAGTACATACAATAAGTCGAATTCCCTGCACTTTTTGTAGTCTTTGATGTTTGAATTAGAAGAATGTTTGTTCATATATAAAATTCTATTTAAATATTTAATTTTAATTTTCCCCCATGTAGGTGCGTCTTAACCAGAGCATGCTAAACTGTATTAATGGAATTGTTACATTAGTTGATTTTCTCGAGTCATTAATGGATACATTGCATATTTTCACCCATACTTCTTGGCATGGACTTCACAGCAACTTACAAATGAAGTAACTAAATGTTAAATACAAAATGAGTGATCAAAGAGTACTTGAGCTACTAATAAATCATCCCTAAGTTCTGCAGTTGATTTTGATCATACTTTTACTCTGAGGTAATTATAATAAGTGGGCATCCTGATTACTGAACATATTAAAGGTGTGAAACTTAACAAGTAATGAGTTGAAACTATTCACTGCTATAACAATTAGCGTTCATACCAGAGAAATCACTTGCTACAGAAGCCATTGATCACAATTACTTTACAAAGGTTGGCACATATAAGGGTACTTTGTGCTAGCCAGGATAAGTACAAAATTACAAATAAGAATCATGAAGTTAATCTTGTTTATATGGCAACTTCAGAAGTGCGATAAAGTGAAGTACAGTATATTACAAAGTGGTTATGAATGAACTTAATATGTAGAATACTAATATATTTTTCAAGTAATAAAAGGAAGGGATTCAGTTCTGCCAGGAAGTTGTAGTATCTAGTTGTAGCTTTATGCATGACAAGTCTGTGGACGTTCTGCTTCATCTAAATGTCATTTTCATGTGCCGTGACCAATCTACTTAGTACAGCTGGAATAAAGTTTTCAATTTCATATCTCGACAATAAATCTGAATGCAGATTTACTTCAATACAGGTTTTAATAAATACATTATACATGGCTGGAATAAATAATACAAAGTATTGAGAATAACAAAACCCTTGATGATTGTTGCAAAAAAAACATAAAAAGAACTTCTCAGCAGTATTTATGAACAGTGAAGAATGACTCCACTGTCAAAGCTGTGTAGGATGCACAACACCCATTGGCTTCGGTCATTGATTCATGATGTATAACTACATGTCATATGATTATGAATCTCCCGTCAAGTATGTTGGAGCACTACCATCATTACTAAAACTCCCGTGTCTCTTACGGAACACAATGCCAGATACTGACGTGTAGGATAGACGACAGACAGCACTCTAAAGTAATAATTTCATTATAAAACATTTGTTTATTTAGTACAACAGGTACTGAAATTTGTGCTAATATATTGAGTTGCAGATTAGAATTAAATACTGGGATCAGTGTTAAACAACCATATGTGCATGTTGTGTGTGCTTTGTCATAATGTTCACTAACCTTTTTCATTTCAGGCATTTTGCTATATCATAAAATTTCTGAATGAAAAGATTTGTTAATTATATTGCACCCATTTTAATTTTCAATTTTATTTATGAATGAAATTTAATTTTTGTGTTGCTTTATTTAAAGGTTAATCACAGGTAAGTACCTTTAATATTTTTATAAAATATATAATGTTTGTATAAAGTGATCAAATTAATGTTAAATACTACTGGACTTCTAATCAATTCCTCTCTTGCTATTGTATTTAAAGTATTTGAGAGAATGAGATAGGTCAGGGAGTGGACGGTAGGTTAACCCTTAAATTGTGCATGGCGTATATATACGCCATGAGTAACATGTCCCACTGTGCGCATGATGTATATATACGTCACAGGGTGCCAGGCAAGATTCAAATGGCCCACGGCTACATGGGGTTCACATCAGCTTCCTCAGGGCTCTTGTAAACAGACGCCATGTGTAAATAAATCGTGGGCAATATTTTCCGGTGTGAGAGCCACAGTACTATGGGAGCAACCAAGGCTGGCGTACGCAGTATGAGCTAACAGCATTGCTGTTCAATTTGTGACCACAGCATTGCCTAAAAATGTCAAAATAAATATGTAACTGCTATTATTTAGCGATGACAGTATTACAGATGACTCCTGTCTGTGATAACAATGACCAAGATTGTGATAATAGCAGAATTTTTGTGATAATTAGCGCTGTGTGGGAGGAGTAATGCTGAGGGGAGGGAGGGAGACTGTGGTCACCTGTTATTGCCTGCATTCACCATACCAGCTCAGTGGTTCTCTATATAACGTCTGTATATAGTGCATAAAAGCAAAAACAGTATGGTGGGAGGAAAATGTGAGGTGTTGTTGAGAGAGTGGCAACGAGTGGCTGACTGGTGTGTGGCGGCCACTCTTCGTTGCTTTTTGACTCACAGTACCAACTTAGTAGTTCGTTATGGTGAACAAAACATGCAGATGGATACTTACATACAACCTGTGTATATAGTGTAATAACAGCAAAACTATTTGTTTATTGTTTTATGAACATAATAATTGAATCACTAATATGCACACCATACTTTTGAGTATAGCGATGATTCGCCTCTTTTATTATGTAAATATCACACTACACATTATTGAATAATATTACTGCAAAAAAAAATGAAAAAATGAGATTGAAATAATTAGGTAATAATGTGTTTGTGGCAACTCCTGCCTGTCAGCTCGGGTGACGTTGACTGCCTCTGACGGCTGCTGTGTCAACGCCCACATTTTGCCAGACTTCTTCGGCCTATTGTGCCCAAAATATGTCGCCTACGATTTATTTTTTATTTTTCCCGTGCTCAGGGAACACAAATTAACATTTGTAGAAGACGAAATAATTTTTTAGAATTTTTTTTTCTTGCACACGGGTGTAAATCCTCAGGACCCCTTAGCAGCTTAAGGGTTCATGAGTTCCTGGTAGTTGATGGTTCTGGGTGTGAGTAGGTTAAGGGAGAGTATTTAAAATACCTTCACAGTCGCCCTTTTTATTTCCTAATACGAGTGAATTATACAACACCATCTACTGTATTTATTATCATAACTTGTATAAATCTTCATTATCTGTATAGAAATAAATGCACGTCTCTAGAGATCAAGTTGGCAAGGTATAGTTCCACAAGCTTGAAGAGTAAACACTGCCATTTGCACTTCTCCCTGTAATGTCTAAACTGGGCCGTGGGTGCCTTACTTACATGTTGACTTTGTCCTTGACCCATGGTCATTTGTATGCTTTGTATCATATAGGCTTGTGCCTCAACTTGAGTGCCTTTTATTTTTCCCTAATTTAAATTATATTTGTAGAAATCTTTGTTCCATCGTTACAAGCTCTCAGGGATCAGTATTGCCATTCGATATTTTGTGTAAATTCTAAAATAAACCCTGCCATTAATGCTTGTGCCTCGCCTTCACCACTTAAATTATTAAATGTCCTGCTCACTTTCCTTCGCAGCCTTTTACTGTACTTTTTGCCTACTTGTGGATGGCTTTGTGCATTCACACCGTCTCCTCGTATTGTATCTGCTGTACTCATGTGGAGAGTCCTGGATTCCTACCTTGTTGTTCATAATGCTTTCTGCAGAGATATGTAGATGGTTAGCTGTTATAAGTACAAAATAATGTAGTATCAAATGTGACCTATGCCCATGGCCTGCCACTGAAACAGTAATTGGGAAACATTTCTTGCTAGGTTAGGTACTGGTAATGCACAATTACCTCATTGCTGCTATATGGAAGAGACCTATGCCTTACTGTCAAAACTACATTGGCCTGCTAAGTTACACACCTGTAGAAGGTTTTGGTTTTCAGGATTGGCAGTCTTGCTTTTCCACTGTCTTAAGTGCTGTTTATCTAATTTCTTGGTTTACATCTACTCTTGTATTGCATCCTGAGTAATATCTTTTGACAATTCTATAACAGTGCTGTACTAGCAGTGTTTTTTTTTTTTTTTTTTTTTTTTTTTTTTTTTGTTTTAATAATTGTTACTTTATACACACCTGTTCCATGGTAAATTAGTCAATTGAAAGTACAGTACTGTAGTCATTTAACTGGTGCACTCGGGGTCTTGCTGTGTGCCTTTACATATAACAATCTAGCTCTCTCGGGACCTTGCTCGATGACATATAAATGTTAATACTCTAGCTTTCCAAAATATTTCTTGGGTAATAATGAGAAATTTTGTCGTTAAGCAGTTAATGCTCTTGGTGTATAGATGCTAACAAATGGTGCATGCATCATAGATTGTGAATGGCATTTCTGAATATACAAAAACTGTAAACATTTTTCAGTTATGTCTCAAACAATTATTTGCCATAAGTAAACAAAATAGTTATAATAATATGCCCACATGATTGTTCTATATACATGTAAAAAGAATACAAAGACT